ACGCTAATACCGTAAAAACTGTCATACTTGTCAAATAGCGTTACGGTATTTGAAATTTGGACAGCACAAGAACTCTCTTTTGTAACCAGGTTAGAAAACGGTATGTCATTTCTCTAACCGTTTTGTAACCCGGTTAGTTAAACCGGAGCTACGTGAAAAGAACTATTGGCAAAAATATAGGGTGGTCCAAAAAAAACCGGAATTTTGTTTTTGAGCTGTAACTTTTTTATTTGTTGACCAATTTTTTTTTGTTTTGGCTTGTTTGAAAGAGAAATGAACAGACTAACGAATCAGGGTGAAACTTTTGACATTTGAAAAAAATCCAAAATGGCGGACTCCTTCAAAAATAAATTGCCTAGTTTTGGATAGCGCTGGAACTTTTTTGTGACACCCTGTATAAGTTTTTTTAATAAATTCTTAAAGTTCATCATTTTGCGAACATTTTAAGATCTCGACAGAAAAAATCGGTTGAAAACTAACTGAAATATTGAATTTTTGGTAATATCGAATTTCAATTTTTTATATTGACAGGAAAATCTAGGATATGCTATTTCAGCTAGATTTTTTTTTCTTCTCGACATATTCTTTCTATTTCTCGCTTGTTCGAAAGATAAATAGATAAGGTAAGGATTCGAAATGAAGATTTTGACTGTTGAGGAAAAATTAAAGATTTCCCAGTTCCTTTAACATAGCCAATTTTGAAAAAGTTAACGATAATTTTTTCAACAATATGACTAATATTTTTATTTCGTTTTTTCCATCCCTATTCAGATTTCCTATGCCTTTGCTGTTTGTATTTTCAAAGTCAATATGGAATATTGAATATTGCATTTTTAAATGAATAGTTACCTTGCGTTCGGTATTTTGCTCAAAGAGCAAAGCCGTAATCACGTGACCAGCGAGCGAACCTAGCAGTTGAACGCTGTATCAAAGTGGCTGAAATTTTAATAAACGAACGCTGATGAGCCGATGAGCCTGCACCGAGTATACTTTTTAAATAAACGAACGCTAAATGCAAGCTTGGAGAGCTCAGATCAAAATACCGAACGCATGGTTAGAAACAAACAAAGCACATATAGATTAGAAGGTTTAACGGAACGAGAACTCCGGGAAAATACTGAGTGAAAATATATATAGTGCCGCACGAACTCCAAGAGCTCTTGCGAAGCTGATTGCACTCAGATCAAAAAGTGTCGCACCGATTCTCCAATAAGATTCAAAAACTTGCACAAAAATGGCCAATGGCCAATAACCCTTTTCACGTGGCTCCGGTTTAACAAACCGCAACATACCGCTCAAATTCGAGTGGTAAGTATCCATCACGTCACTTTGTAACCAGGTTAGAAAACGGTATGTCATTTCTCTAACCGTTTTGTAACCCGGTTAGTTAAACCGGAGCCACGTGAAAAGAACTAAAGACTAATCTTCCGCATGTAGCTAAAATCAGCTGGTGTAAGCACCGTGGTGGAATGGTAGAAAACGCAGTGTCGGTAAATTAAACAGTGTTCGGCAAGCTGTGGTTTGGTGCACCGCGTCCGAGGCGGTGCACCGTCCATTTTGGTGAATTTAGCCACACGCGGATGCTGTCGCGCCGCACGTTGGCCCAATCAATGGAATTCACCATGCGTTCGGTATTTTGATCTAATTCTCCGAGCTTGAATTTACCGTTCGTTTATTTAAAAAGTTCGTTTTTTAAAATTTCGAGCTCGTTTAACTGCTCTGTGCGCTCGCTGGTCACGTGATTATGGCTCCGCTTCAGCACGTTCTGCTCTTTGAGCAAAATACCGAACGCAAGGTTATTTGGTTATTATACGGGCCGGTTTCTCAATAGCGGGTCACCTCCGGGTTGGTTTTATCTCCAGGCTAAGCGTGTCCAGTTACTATGTTCACCCTGAAGTGCTTAACCCAGGGGTGACGTGCGAAACCGGCCCTAAGCCTGGAACCGGGTTAAAAAACGGTATGTCATTTCTCTAACCAGCTCAGCAATATGGTTACGTTTAACAGTTTGAACAAAAAAAAAATAGAAAATTTGTGAACAACGGAGAGCGGGAAAATTGTGACAGGTGTAAACTTGTAAAAAAAATTGTGTGTTTTGTTAATATTATTTTAAAGTTTCTATCTAAGGTTCGTTTCTCGAGGGTTCATACTTTTGTTATCGAACACGTCATAGTTTGAAAAAAGGGTTGTCGTAGATAATTCATATGACACATTCAATTTTTTTGATAAATTAAAATTAATGACTTCTGGCTTAAGAACCGACGAACGCTTTTGACGTCATTGATTTGTTTCAGTTAATTTCTATTTGGTAAAAAAGGAAGGCAAATTTTGTCAAAAGTATGAACCCTCATGAAACAAAGGCTATGGTCCGAATATAACCAAAGTAACCCTTTAACCCTTTTCACGTGGCTCCGGTTTAACAAACCGCAACATACCGCTCAAATTCGAGTGGTAGGTATCCATCACGTCACTTTGTAACCGGATTAGAAAACGGTATGTCATTTCTCTAACCGTTTTGTAACCCGGTTAGTTAAACCGGAGCCACGTGAAAAGAACTATAGAACCGACATCCGATGGACGGTAGCTATTTTGACATTTGGTTTACCAGATTTCAGGAAACCGAGGTCTAAAAGTAACCACTTTTCCAGGAGCCAGAGAGTAATTTGATTACTTTCGGACCGCGAATTCACAACCCTGGTTATATTCGGACCACAATCAATTGACCTCTGTCTCGCATAAATAGAAAAAAATAGCTTAATTTTGACAAATACAAGTTGGAAAGTAATAAAAGATGACATGCGCGCGCAACTAGTGGGTTGCAGTGTAACCAGTTGGTATTGTAGCAGAATAATAAACAATACAAATCGAACATTATACCAATAAAAAGAGATTTCTTACAACGTATTTTACAACGCTTTAAATCTTAAATCAGAAGAGCTTTAGAGTGTATTTTAACATCGTTTGCATTTTCATTTTGATAAATGTTTCATCGCGAAACATCGCACAGTGAAAGTGCAAAGAAACATGTCAAGTATAATCTGACATAATTTTAAACAACACTGCGGTGAGTTCAGAAGTAATACGTAAAGTATTAGTTTGCTCTTTGTCGAATTACACGTTACAAAGAAAGAAGGAATGATTAATTCTGCCCCCGGATTTCTTTTTACGAGTCGAGTCGAATTGTACACGTCTCGATACGACCGCTCCGGACGTACCGTGTAATACGTATGGAAAAATCGAAAAATAGAATCGCTATTTTGACAATTCAATAAGAATTACGACTCGACTCGAAAAATAGAATCCGGCAGCTGAACTGGCTCCTGATTTAGTTAAGAATATGACGCATCAAGCCCGTAACAAACTCGTTTCTCATTGGACGCTCACCTGCAGCCCACGAGTTGCGCGCGCAATCAAGGTAAAAAAAGATAGGTCAATTGATGAACATGGAAGCAATTAAAGTTAAAGAAAATAATAGGGTAATTTTTTTTCAAGATATACGTGAAATTTTGGTGCAGTTACTAGAGGGTACATCAACCTATTATAAATATTGTCGGGTGGTTCGATTTCCTGATTTAAAATAACATTTTTCTAACCTAAGATTATCGTAGATTTCTCCAGGTTGAAGTACCGTTATGCGGAGCAAATGAAAGAAAGGAGTTCTTTATATTACACAAAAAATACTTATTATAGGATTTTTACGCTATATTTAGGATGACGTCACACTTAGTAAATTTCTGCTGCCAACCTAACAAAACTAAAAGCACTTTTTAAAGCATTCAAAGTAGGGGAATTTCAGACGTTTTTGGTTCGCAACGGTGCGCAACGTTGCATGATTTGTATAAACATTTTCATTTCGTTATTTTTAGCTATCGTCAGAATTATTGACACATGACTTTCTGGTAAATTATAAGAGAAAAAATAGGCATTGACAACATTATCTGTCCTTGTTCGATGACGTCATCCTAAATATAACATAAAAAACCTATACAGGGTGTCCCAAAAAGATACCGACAAACTTTAAGGGGTAGTAGGGGACATCAAAACAAGCATTTTTGTTTATATAAACATATGTCCGCAAATGAGCCATTTGGGCTGTAGAGTAGAGCAAAAAAAAACTGTTTGGTACCTAGTTTTATTTTTCGCAATAATTAAATCACTGTTTACTTATTAATTTTGCTTTATTAACAAATAAATTATGCTTCACAATAATTGTTCAACTCGCGAACTATTTGGAATATTCCGGGAATAGCTTCTACATGGGTATAACTCGTCAGTATCCTTGCTAACAGATCTTCCTCATTACGAATAGGTGCTTCGTCAGTTTCGTAGACTAAAATTTTCAGTCAATGACCCGACGGTGTAATCTTTGCATTGAAGTAAATGGTCAACATTTTGAACAATTATTGTAAACCACAATTTATTTGATAATAAAGCAAAATTAATAAGTAAACAGTGATTTAATTATTGCGAAGAATAAAAGTATCAAACAGTTTTTTTGCTCTACAACTCAAATGGCTCATTGCGGAATACGGACATATGTTTATATAAACAAGAATGCTTGTTTTGATGTCCCCTACTACCCCTTAAAGTTTGTCGGTATCTTTCTGGGACACCCTGTATATTATATTTATTAATTTTCTAATCGTTCGTTTTCAAGTGGAATTTTCAATGACGTCATCATTTGACATACCGCTACTAACCGATTTGTAACCTGGTTAGTTTAAACCGGAGCCACGTGAAAAAGGCTTTTGCATCAATAAACTTTTTTCACGTGGCTCCGGTTTAACAAACCACAACATACCGCTCAAATTCGAGTGGTAGGTATCCATCACGTCACTATGTAACCGGGTTAGAAAACAGTACCTATGTCATTTCTCTAACCGTTTTGTAACCCGGTTAGTTAAACCGGAGCCACGTGAAAAGAACTTTTGAAATGTCAACAGATGTCAAAAATGACAACCTGTTTCCCTTTCCTTCTTGCTTCTTGTTTTTCATTTGTTGTGATTGTTCTTGTTGTGTTGTCTTTTTAATTAAATTTCAAATTAAAGTGTTTATTCAACATATTGTTCGAATTAATTTTTAGCTTCAAATTTATCTCGTGAAATTAGTTATAGTTTAATTCATTGTTTTATATATTTTGATCCACGAAAGGAGAGAAAAAGTATGGAAAATTCGTTGTAAAAACGAAGGGTTTGCTCTGACTGGATTAACCGGATCTGATCTCAGATAATTGGAGGACAGGAAAACACGTTTCAGGTAAGAAATTTGTTAGTTAATAAAAAAAAAACATATTCGATCAATACAATAGATAGAAAAATTATTACTAGTACCAAAAATAACAAAATATTATTTTTGCTACAACAGCTAAGTAATTTTGCAATGTGGACAAATTGCAAATTCTTCCAAAACTGAGAAGTGGAAATCTATTATGCCTCTTTTGCGTTTTCTTTCAACTTTAGTGGTAATCTTATTTATTTTTTTTGCTGAGGCTTTTTAGGTATTTATGTGACCAGCCGGCACCAACTTGACTATGGAACTTCCAACAAAGAGCAATTGTTTCGGCTTTTCTGCAAAATAACCTCAAATATAAAATTGAAAAAATATTTAGTGGGAATCTCCCAAGGAATCTCCAAGCAAGGAGCCCAAAGCTGTTCAGGCTATTTTTTTTCTGCCAAATAATTTTTTTATCCTATTAAGATATCCCTGTTTTCAACTGCTAGTTTTCTTTTATCTTCTACTGCAACATTTTCATTAATTATATTTTTCCTTAAGTAATTATTGTTGATTTCCATGTATTGTATCATGACTTAAAAAACAACTGAGGTTTTTATCCTTTTTCTTGAGATTTTGGATGGGGTACCGGGTACCAATAACATCTTTTAGCAGGGACTTGATAGAGTGTCCTAGAATTATTGGATGAAGGGTTGAAAATATCAGAAAACTCAACAAGCTTAAAGGAATTTTTTAACTGTCCTAGAGACAACAAATATATTAAAATTAAAGTTATTTACCAAACACAGATATCTATGTCGAGATCTATCTGTAGGACTCCTCGTAGGACTCATATCACCATATTATTATGTTGTTCTATGCTATTAAAGGGTATATGAAAGGTAACTTGATGACAAAGACCTTGGGAAGAAATGCCAAAAACCACCCGACTCAAAAGATCAGCACAAACAATGTGCCCATTCAGCAGTTTAAATATAATTATGGCCCCAAACATATCTCTTTGAGTACTAAGAGGAGCCAATGCCATTTTCTTTTCGATTTCAGCATAATTATAGTCTCATATTCTATTGTTGTTCCTAAAAGCACAGTATCTGAAAAATCTATGTTTAACTTTCTCAATCAAATTACCTAAGTGATATGATTTTGAAAGTATGGGGACCATAAGTACTACTGAGCAATATTCGAGGCAATATTCCAAGATGGACCTTATAAGAGAGCAATATACTACTTTTGTAGATTCAACAGAAAAATATTGGCAATGCCTTAGTACAAAACCCAGCATCTTTGAACTCTTCACTATGATGGTATTGATGTGCTCTACAACTGTTAATTTTTCACCTAGTACAACTCCTAAGTCCTTAGCCGATGAGGCATATTTTAAAGCCCTACCATAGAATAACTAGTCGGAAACCTACTTGCTTTAGGAAAAAAACTAATACGACAGTATTCATCAATATTTATCCGAGTATTTATCTGTAACTTGTTAGCTGCACACCACCCAGCCAGCCTATCCAGATCTTCCTGCAATAGTTCCTGATCCCCTATACTCTCCACAGTTCTCCAGACTCCAGACTTTCAAATCAGCAGCAAATTTCAAAACTTTGCTGTTTATAACACAGAATACTACCCGGGATACTACCTATATCATGGATAAAAAAATATTGAATAGGAGTGGAGAGCAGTAACCCCCCTGTGAAACGCCAGATGAAATATGGATTGCTCAGTTTTTTGTCAATGATAAAACCCAAGTTTCCAACATATTCACTAAATCTTATTGCTTCGCAGTTCAAACTAAGCTGACCAGCTAAAATATCTTTCAAATTCCTCTTATCTTCAAACACAATGATATCAGTTTTAGACACATCAACTTTAAGACTTAAGACCTTTCATATTTGTCCAATGTTAGGGCTGCCATTTATGAAATTTTCTCGGAAATTTGTTACCTAGGACAATTTTTACAAAAACTCCGGATTCTAATCCCTCAAACCCGGGATTCTAATCCCTCAAACCCGGACACTACTACAAATCTGGGAAAATCCGGACGGATGGCAACCCTAGACAATGTATCAAATTTTGTAAGTCTTTGTTGATCGAACCAATTGCCTTGTCCATGCCTTCAAAGTTAAAATAATATATAAGTTGTAGGTATGTCATCTGCGTAACAATGATCTTTGCAATACTTTATGTTATGCATTTCAAGTCTGTGAGGAAAAAATTGAATAGCAAAGGACCTAAATTGACCCCTGTGAGACTGCCTGCTGCACAAGCAATTCCTGGGACAGTATCTGGCCACTTTTGCTACTTAATTGGACAGTTTGGTGTAACCGCCACAACATCAAAACTTTGAGAGTAGAAAGTCTTACTATCGAATGGTTTGGACATGATGTCTTAAAGGATAAGGATGGGTATTCGATTCCTGTCCAAAGAGATCATTATATCATCAGTTATCTTCAACAGTACCGAGCTGGTAGTGTACAATTTTCTAAATCCTGATAATTCATTAAGCAATTGCTATGTTCTTCAACATGATGCACAAGTTTTTCACTCGATTTTTCAAGTACCTTTGAAGCAGGCGACGATGGATCTCAGATATTTTTATTTTTCTTTGAGTTTTTTCATGCACCTGGGACCTGACCACTAATTAGAGATAAGTTTACAATACAATCTTAAAGCCAACTTCAACATGTAGATCGAACTGCCATCCAGACCTATAACGTTAGATTTGATAGTTTTATGTAGTTCATCTGAGCTAGTACAGATGAAGTTGAATTTTACTTGAGCCGTTTCTGAGAGTGCATAAAGTGTGTTGAGCAGCTCATTATCTGAATTTATATCATTTGCATATTCAATGAAATATTTGTTCACCTCATCACGGTTCAACTGATCTACAGTCAAAACATTTCCATTTTTGCTAATAAGCCCCAAGGCGTAACATTTTTTTCAAAATAAATTCAATAAATCATACTTAGACATCGAGTCAACCCCTATGCAAAATCCCTCTCACTCAAACCCCGTTGAAATATGAAAAACTACCCTTAACAAGTAAAAATGATATTCAGATTTTCATATTTTTTCCCAACTCGGACTTCGAGTCTTGCCATGAAATTATTGGAACAGCATTTCTAACCCCCATGCAAAGTCCCATTGACTCAAACCCCATCGAAATATGAAAAACTACCCTTAACAAGTAAAAGTGTATAAATATTTAGATTTTCTCTCAGATTTTCGTATTTTTTTCCAACTCGGACTTGAGTCAATGGGATTTTGCATGGGAGTTGGAAATTATGTTAGGAGAATAGTACCGTATCAATTCCATGGCAAAACTCTAAGTCCGAGTTGGGAAAAAATACGAAAATCTGAATATTTATGCATTTTGACTTGTTAAGGGTAGTTTTCCGTACTCCAACAAGGTTTGAGTCAATGGGATTTTGCATGGAGGTTGAAAAGAGTTTTAGAATAATAATACCCTATTAATTTCATTGCAAGACTCGAAATCCGAGTTGGGAAAAAATACGAAAATCTCAATATTTAAGCATTTTTATTTGTTGAGGGTAGTTTTTCGTACTTCGAAGGGGTTTGAGTCAATCGGACTTTGCATGGAGGTTGGAAAGGGGTACCCTATTAAGTTCATGGCAAAACTCGAAGTCCGAGTTGTGAGAAAATACGAATATCTCAATATTTAAGCATTTTTATTTGTTAAGGGTAGTTTTTCGTACTTCGAAGGGGTTTGAGTCAATCGGATTTTGCATGGAGGTTGGTTTTTTACTTGAATCCTAGCAAAGGTCGAAGAATAAAGTCACAGATTTATGTTTCAGGTAATGCAATCTGACGGATAAAAACGCAATTTATAATCCCATTGGTCTGCCAGTTATCCTATATTTAATTCTGGAAATTAAGAGCCACAAACCGAGCCACAAACTTGATATAAAATAGCATATCTTTAGAATTTATTTCCCAAGGGCCGGTTTATTCATCTTCAGATAAACTTGCTGGTAACTATTTGCAAGGTAAATTTACCGATTTATAATCCTATTGATCGGCGGATAACAGGCCGAATAATGGAATTACAGATTGCGTTTTCATCCGCCAGATTGCAATAACTGACAGTTTATTAGAAGGTGCATAAACCGGCGCTGAGGCTTGGTTTATTCATCTTCAGATGAACTTCCTGTTAACTCTCTACCAGCTAAACTCTCCAATCTCTTATCCTATTGGAACAAAAAAGATATTAGGTACAATTAGTACATGAGTAGGGTACAGGGTCATATCTGTCTATCTTCACTGGAGGTTTTTTTTAAAAATAATTTCTCTAGTTTTGGCAAGAGTCGAACGCCAATTTTAGGCATACCTATCTCAAATAAGTGAATGATGGGCTATTAAGGTGAATGTGGTGTGAACAGCACTCTGACTTTCTCAAAAAGCACCGCAATCTACCTATTGTCTGTAATAAAATTCTCCGCAACTCTCCTCAAAGTGAACAAGGCCTAGAAATAACATGTTTGTTCTGAACTCTTTTTGTGTGGTGAATTAAATTCAAATTTAATTAAAACAATTATGGAAAGTAACCAGTACACACCTGTGAGCATAATATTTCTTGTTGTGTGGTAATATTTACATTAAATTAAAACAATTATGAAAAGTAATCAGTACACACATCGCATGGGTGCATAATATTGCCTTCCAGACATAACACTTTCTGTTTAAAAAAATACATACATATATGTATCCGTATTTCATTGATATCACATATTTACGTTACGTATAACTATATATGTAGTTAATCCAATTTGACATACAAATTTGTTTCAGTCTCTAGAAGAAATGGCTCAGAGCAGTAGCAATGGTCAAGATAAAAGCAGCAACACATATGAAGCTCTAAACAAAATAGGGAGAGGTAAATTTTTGAATACAAATTACAAAAAAATAAACAAAAATATGCGTTTTTTTTAGGTGCGTATGGAACAGTCTACAAAGCAAGAGACAAACAAACCGGTCAAGAGGTTGCCTTGAAAAAAGTGTGCATTCCTCTAAGTGAAGATGGTATCCCAATGAACACTTTGAGAGAAATTGCTTTACTCAAGCAACTCAATGCCTATGACCACCCAAATATTGTAAAACTTTTGGATATTTGTCATGGACAACAAATTGGAAAAGACTTAATGATGTTTCTGGTTTTTGAACATGTTGAGCAGGATTTGGCTATGTATATCGAGAAACATACAAAGTAAGAACTATTTCAGTACAAAAAAACATCCATTATTTGGTATGAGGATGAAGACAATATTCCTATTTATTAAATTTTTTGTCTGCAGAGGATTTAAAACTACAGAAATTAGAAATCTTTCTAAACAAATTGTGCATGGAGTCGATTTTCTGCACAGCAACAGAATTGTCCATAGGGATTTGAAGCCGCAAAATTTATTGGTGACTAGTGATGGGCACATCAAACTAGCTGATTTTGGTTTGGCTAAAACCTATGATTTTGAAATGAAGCTCACATCAGTGGTAAGTTCGTTTTTCTTTACCACTATATCACAGCTTATTATATTATGGGAACAAATCACATGATTGGCAATTTAATTGGAAAGTAAGCAAAACAAATCTACTACAGAATGTTAATTGTTTTAATTAATATCTTTTCGTTATTCTGTACTATCAATGTGTAATAACTTATAACATGATCAAAATTGTAATTGAAAAGTTATACTTAACTGCCGCCGGCAACTAAATTTGTTCTCAAAAAAGCATGTTTGCAAAATCTGCAGTATGTCAAAAATAAAGTTATTAACTAGAATATCACTTAGATATTTTTACATTTGAAGAAGCAAATTTATACCCGTAAGTGTCTTGGAAAAATTCGAGTGGAAATTGAAATTAGTTCTACATAATGGTTCTACCTTTAAGCAAAAATTACTGTGCAGCAAAATAGATATGATAGCAACAGAAATGCAGCTTGAATAGGGGAAAACCCTTTTCATCTCCTAATATTGGTTTACGTATTTTGTACAAAACTGACAATTACAAATATTCATAAACTAATATAAGAGTTTGCTATTACATATATTATTATTCCTTAATTTGAATAATTAATAGTTCAAGTTCAAGAAATGGTTCTAGAATCTGTCCAATGATAATTTAGTCAAAGTGATCAAATGCTGATAATTATTTCCTTTAATTATGTTCAAATGGAGATGGCAAAAAATATTTGAACATAAGGAACAAATTATGCAGTTTTATTTTTTATGATGGGTATTGAATATTAGCGGTGCTCATAAAAATATAAAGCCATCTTTGTTTGTCCATCAAAACTTGAATATTTTACTGATCCATTTAAGGCAAACCTTATTTTATAAACATTCTATTAATTTTAATTTTAATAATTAGTGTTTATATAATATTTTCTTTTTCTTTTCTGTTAACCACAAGGAATAAAATTTGGTAAGTATCTTATGAATTCTAGCTTAGAAATTATCGTTATCTAATCAGATGTGGGTGGAGTTAGCCTCCATTTCTAGTCAAAAAATTAGGGACGCATGACATACGCACCCGAGTACACACCAGAACAATTTTAACTTTTTAAAATTAACCTACTATGGAATTATGGTTTATTAGGAACTGCAGAAACTATGATATAACCGATAAAATAAAGCGGTGTAAAATCCAAATTTTAAACATATTTCTCTATATAAAATACTCAACTTAGGGCGTTCTAATTTCTTTCTCAATATATTGGATGGACTACTACCATCTTTTAAAAGGGTTATAACATGTTCTAGAATAGGTACCTACTGCCTCAAGCTTATTTTGGAATTCTGTGGGGGATCAAGGGTTGAAAATATAAAAAAACTCTATCAGTTTAGGGTTTTTATGCTTTCTCTCAAGATTTTGAATGGGTTACTACTATATGGTTGATACATTATTCTAGAGTACTCTCTTACCTTAAATTGGTTTTGAAATATGTAAGGGATTTCGAAAAAATCTCGATTTTCTTTGTCGTTTACTTTACATTCTTATAGATGCTGCATATTTATAGAGTCGGTCGGAGAGTGGGAAATAAATAGCTTGGCCAAATCTCAAGTAGAAGACCTTTGTGTTTCCTATTAATAAGTATATTTCTTTTATAGGTAGTCACATTATGGTACAGATCCCCAGAGATACTCTTAGGCCTACCGTATTCCACAGCAGTAGATATTTGGTCCATAGGATGCATAATTGTTGAATTATTCACCAGAAAGCCTTTATTTTGTGGAAAATCTGAAAACGAGCAATTAAATGAAATTTTGAGGTAGGTACATTCCACACTCAGATTTTTTTTATTTTGAGTATGTAAATTAATTTTTCACTATAGGGTTCTTGGAAAACCTCCAAAAGACGAATGGCCAGCTAAAAACGCACCAATAAAATGGAGTTCATTCGATATAAACGAAAAAGTTGATATTAAATCCATTGCACCAAGTATGTGTGAAAATGTTTTGTCATTAGTGATGGTAAGTTTTCGATTTTTTATGATTTTTGAATTTTTAAACATAAATCTCTTGTAGAATATGCTAACATTTGACCCAAACAAAAGAATAACCGCCCTAGAAGCTTTAAATCATGAATATTTTTTGGAGGAACCAATTAATACTTAAATAAATGCACAATGTTATTTGAACTTAAATTTTACCAAATAAGTTGCCTTTTTTAAAACCTCAGTACCGATACATTGTTCCTTATGTTATCTATATTTTTTGCTTGAATTCATTCTTAAGTTAAGTTGCATGGAAAAAGGAGTGGATGTTTTATTTTAGGACAAATTTTTATAATGTTTTTTTTTTAATGTTGTTCTGTCTCTTCAAAATATGTAAGTAATGTTTATTTTTAAATTTTCTGTTTTTAAACTGTTTTATATTATTGTGTCTTAAAAATTCTTATGTGTTTTTTGCATTATTTGTGCCTTTTCAGGTTACATTATCAATTATTTTCATCTAACTTAAAAACAAAATTGTCTTGCTTTTGAATAGGTACACAAATTTACAAATTAATGGTTCTAGACTAGATTAATTTTTATTCATATAATATAAATATAGTAATAAATTGATATGTATTCCAATTTAATGTTTATTTTTGTAGGCTTTTACTGGCCTGTGATCTTTAAAATTTAGTTAGATACAAACCATTCGGCCCTTTGCTAATCACTCAAAGTCATAATTTCATTGTGATTTTACTCCACTAATATGAGTCTCTAGGACACATGTCCAAGGTATCTAAAGATTTCATTTGTTCAAATTCTATTTTATATTTTTTGCCTCACCATGGAGTTTCAAGAGAGAATAGTCTGACTACCAATCTAAGAGTTGTCTTTGATGGTAGTTGTTCCTCTTCTAGAGGATGTTCACTGAGTGTAATTCAGCATATAGGACGAAAGGTACAGAATGATATCATGGGTTAGTATTTTATCGCGTTTCAGGACCTACGTTTACGTTGTGTGTCAGCCGATATACCGAAAATGTATCGCTGTATTCTAATGCACCCTGATCACAGACCAGACCTCTTCAACAAATTCTTTTGCGTCAAAACTCAGATGAAAATTTCTCTATTTACGAATTGAACACTGTTACTTACGGCACCAGTTTCGCGCCTTATTTAGCTAATCAGCTATATAGTGTTTGAAGCAATTAGTAATTTTAAATTATGAGCAATTTCTAGAGGCACCATTTTAGAGGACTTCTACTAGATGATCTTTTGTCAGGGTCCAATTCTCTTTCGGAATTAAATTCAAAATGCAATCAAATATTTTACATTCTAAAATCAGCGCAATTTATTTTGAGAAAGTGGGTCTCAAATGATAATAAAGTCATTTCAAACTTAGATGATCATAATATTTCTAATTCAACTTTAAATTTTGGGCCGAAAAAGGGGTTGAAAATATTGGGTACCTATTCAGGGGATTCCAAGTTCGGATCATTTATCCTATAAAATTAAAGAAATCTTTTACACCAAAATCCCAATAATTAAGCGAATTATATTATCTCCACGTGGTATAAATTCAGAAAAATTAATCCATTCAGCTCTCTGGTAGACAGGTCTTACATTTCTTAAAAGTCCCATTGACCGATTGACTACAGTTTGTTTCGCCAGGGTTTGTACTTGCCACTAGCATTTGCCTTCCTTGTTTAACAAATAAAAATTGAATGAAACAAATCAATGATGTCAAAAACGTTCGTCGGTTCTTAAACCAGAAGTCATTCATTTTAATTTGTCAAAAAAATTGAATGTGTCATATGAATTAATGTACGACAACCCTTTTTTTCAAGTTTCAAGGTCAAGTATGAACCTTACATATGCAGGTACCTCAAAATCAATTGCCAGAGTTGAAAAAGACTAATACTATTTTGCAAATTATTAGCGTTTCATGTTGTGAGTTATTCAACAGATTCTCTGATTTACATAAATTAAGACGCATAACAGCTCTCTACATTCGATTTTATAAAAACTTGAAAAATAAGAGAAGCAATTTTAGAAATCGATTACAAACTGGTCCAATTACTGTGAATATGAGTTAGAATCAGCAAACCAAGTTTTAATACGTTTAGTTCAAGCTGAATATTTTGTAACAGAATTAAAATTATCATCAAAAAATAAAACTTTAGAAAAAAATCATAAGCTTTCATCATCCCTTACTCCATTTATTGATAGTCAAGGTATTATATATGTGTGGATGGTCGTCTAAAAAATACTTATTCACCTACCTTCTACTAAGCCCCCAATTTTACTTTTTTCCGAACATTCATTTACGAAATTAATTTTTGAAAATAAGCATTTAAATTTGTTACATGCCGGGTCCACGACCACAATTATTACTAGCCTCTACCAGACAATTTTATTGGACTATCGCAATTTGGTAAGAAAAACTATGAAAAATTGCATGACCTGCTTTAGATTCAAGCCTACTCCATTAACTTTGCCTAAGTCTAGATTATGCTAGCCCATTTTTTATTCTAAATAAAGCTGGTAGAGGTGCAAGGCCAATTAAATGTTATCAAGCGGTATTTGTATGTTCTTGTACAAAATCAATTCATTAAGAAGTGGTTTCTAGTTTAACGACAGAATGTTTCTTAGCATGTTTAAAAAAAAATTACTTCAAGAAGAGGTTTGCCTTCAACTATTCACTCTGATAACGGCAGTAGGTACATTCGTTGGAGCAAATAGTGAGTTAAAAGATTTTGGAAATTTTTTATATAAAAATCAAAACTCTATTGTGGATCGAGTTAGTAACGATGAAATTCGTTGGGCTTTCATACCTCCTTATGCCCGTAATCTTGGTGGCCTTTGGGAGGCAGCAGTCAAAAGTGCTAAACAGCATTTGAAACGAGTTATCAAAAATAATTTAACATTTTGAATTCAAGACCATTATTTGCCATATGTCAACTGATCCTAATGATTTAATGCCTTATAACCCCTTCACATTTTTTTAATGGTCATCAACTAAACCATCCTTCAGAATGCAACCTGCAACAAATACAATTTAATCGATTATCATGGCTGCAACATGTTCAAAAATTATTTCAACAAATTTGGTTTCAATTCTTAAAACACTACATTTCCCCAGTTTCATACACAATATAAATGGAAAGACGCGCCCACCGAAATCCATGACGGGACTTTAGTATTGCTGAAAAATGATACGACCTCCACTGAAATGGCCCCTTGGTCGTATAGTACGTCAATTTCCAGGCAAAGATGGTGTAACCAGAGTAGCTGAGCAGCTGAGGTCCGTACACATAATGGAAGTGTTACAAGATCAATTCGTCATTTGTATCCTCTTCAGGATGAAACGAAAATGTGTTTAAAAAACTGTTTTATTTTTTGTTTTCTTATTAATTTCTCACATGTTTGAAGGTACCCTCTAAAAATGGGAGAAATGTGTTTAAGATTTTATTATAGAATGCGTTGGCCACTACCCGCAGGTTGATGGCAACTAATCATAGATTAGTCAAAAAATAATGAAGTTTATCACAATTTTAAAAAAATCTATTATCCAATTTAAGTCCCCCACTGTCCTCTCATTATTTCTCTTCCAATCTGCTGAAACCAATTTACAAAACAAAATCTATTGAACCAGTATCCAGTTGAAGATAAACATTTACAATTTTTGATTTTTACAAATAATACAAAGATAAGATGGGTCTTGCTCTACATACTAATTATATCGGGAAGAGAGACAAGAAAATACTGTAAAACCTTGAAACAATTTAAAAATAAGCTAATAATAATTAGTCTGTAAAATATATACATATTTTGTATTATACCTATATAAAGATATTTTTTAGTATTTCGATTGGAATTTAAACATAATTTATGATGAGATTGAACTTTTTAAATCTGAGATTGTATTGTATAAATACAGCTACAGTTGAGAAAATTTTCCCCAAGAAGCCATTAGTTTATTTTCATTAATGAAGTAAGTAAATGATTGGGTTTTACCATTTTATTCTCTCAGATAGTAAACAATGTTCTCCTTGTCCTGACCTATTCGATAATTTACATTTTTTCAGTACATATTCTATTTAATTTAACTGAAATCCATGAGACAATATTTATTTAAATTACATGTTTTAGCAGGTAGGTACAGGGTGATCCAGTATAAAGTGAACACCCCCTACCTTTTTGCTAAAAAAACTGATTTTTGGAAAAATCAAGATAGTCATTTTTTGTATTTTGGTTCTCCGAATTTGAAAACGTTTTTCGAAATTTAATTAGATCTTTCGTTAAAGCGCTGTGACGAAAAAAGTATTTTTTTTTAGCGGTTAGTTAGCAAAATGTTCACTTTATACTGGATCACCCTGTATTTCTACCTACATATTATAAAGATAAACAGCTTATCTGAACCATGGCAATTATTATTATTATAAATTTTTATTTCCATACCAAGACACGCTGATAAACCAAACAAACAGCAAACAATAGGAATAGAAACTCATCAGTTGTTAAATTTGTAATATTTCCAGCATTTTCTCAGCAAAAAAAAAAATGTTTGCAAATAGAGTGGCTATTATAACTGCTTCTACAGATGGGTAAGAATTGGATCAATTATACCTGATATATCTAGAGTCACAATTTTGTCACAAGTAGCGTGGTATTCGGCATTCGGCTCATATATATTAGATGCACCTTTAAAGGATATAGACAGAGAAAAAAACCATTAAAGTGAAGAAAGTAAAAATCAAACATATCTCACAGTATTTTTTTTTAAAAGACTGGAATTTGAATAGTTCCAAGTGATATAATTATCATCTAGTTATTCCAATAAAAATACCCAAATAATGCGGCTGAGGTAAACTTTTTCTTGAAACTCATCCATGTCCTAAAAAGAACTGCAACTTATGCTCCACAAATTTTACTTTAATACATTCAAATTTAAAAAGGAATGGTTTAATGGGATAGCAGTAGATCATACAGCATAAGTTATTTCAAAAAAATCATGAATTGGTGAATAGTTATTATAATAGGCAGTGCCCATTGATTGACTGTTTTCATTTTCTTAGGGGAATTTCATAAAAAATAGCAGAGAAATCTTACTAAGAAGTAAGATTAGTTGGATAAATCCGTATTTAAATAGAATAAAACTGAGTTTACAGCAGAAAAGCGCAAAAATAGTAGTTTAATAAACTGACATTATATTATCAGGATTATGAAATACATTAAACTTCTACTTTTGTCCTTCTGTTAAATCATATTTTTATTTTAGCAAAAGACATATGTTATGGGCCCAGTATAAATAATTGTATTCTGAGTTGTATATGAGTTGTATTTGCTCTATTGAGGCATGTCAGTATAATCTTTTGTATCTGACATAAATTTTATAAATGCTTAATTATCTATCTTTGATCATCAAGACCAACAGATAGAATTTTTCTTACATAGTATTGGATTGGCAATAGCTCGAAAACTAGGACAACAAGGCGCCAAAGTAATTATCAGCAGTAGGAAACCGAAAAACGTAGAAAGAGCTACAAAAATACTCTTAGACGAAGGTATTCAAGTCAAAAGCACCGTTTGTCATGTTTCTGACAGCACAAGCAGAAAGAAACTATTTGAAGCTGTAAGTAAAGTTTTTTTTTTCTAAATATATGTGTGTAGGTAATGAAGTTATAGGAAATAAATGTTTCTGAATTTTTCATTCAATAAAAATATATATTGTATACTTCACTAAAGCCTCAATTTCACAGTGATAGTTGTTGTCATGATCGCAACTATCACCTGAACACGATAACAAGAACTTATGAACTAATTGACATTACAAAATTCCCTAATCTACAAGGAATGTAAAAAAATATAATTGAAACTTTGTTAAAGAATTTTTGGAAAAAGCTTCTGTAATATGTAGGTAATGTCAAAAACACTGCTTGCTTTCCTCATCCCACAAACATGCACATGTTACAAAAAATATAATTTTTCCCAACCCAACTACATAAACTGTTCTAAGTTTAATTTGAATAAATCTTATTTTTCAGGCAGAAGAGTTTGGTGGCCTTGACATCCTAGTATCCAATGCCGCAGTTAATCCATATTTTGGTGGAATTTTAAATGTAAGTATATCTGAACTTTGATATCCATTGGTCATTGGCTAGAGATGTAAAAAAACGGTTTTTTTTCAGATTTGAAAAAAAACATTGAAAAAAAACCAGAAAAAAAAACGTTTTTTTTGTTTTTTTTCTAAATGATTCAAATGTAAAAAAGCAGGTTTTTTTCAGATTTGAAAAAAAAAACATGAAAAAAAAACAAGTTTTTGTGTTTTTTTTTTTCAAAATAATTCAATTTCAAACTTCGTGAGTATCTCCAACCTCATCTTTAAGTAAAAAAAATTGACATTTGACGACCCTGGAGACATAGTAGTTACAGTCTGAAAATTCTTCATACAGCGAAAGTGTCTTATATCAGTGATGTTCTGTTCTAGTATGTATGTTGTATAAATATGATGATTGTATGATCTGATATAATATGATAGTTCATACATGGCTGTACCATGTACCTGACCTGAAAACATGTTTCATTTACATAAAAATAGGTCTGTTTCTGCAGAAATCACAAACCAGTCAGAGTGAATTTCATTGGTTGAAATTAGTTTTCTGACTGTTTATGACTGTTTTCAACCAATGAAATTCGCTCTGACTGGTTTGTGATTTCTGCAGAAACAGACCCAATATTGTTCCTATGTTATTTCTATATAGAATAAGACAATATTTTACGTTTTATCGATATTTCACTGCTTAAACCAATTTTTTGTCCCAAGAAAAGTTTAATTGGCAAAAAAAGTAAAAAATGCGCATATGGTGCTAAGTTTAGAATAAAAACACAAAATCTGAAAAAAAACCATTTGAAAAAAAACCATGAAAAAAAACTTGAAAAAAAACAAAAAAAACGGATTGTTTTTTTTCACGTTGCATCTCTATCATTGGCACATCATCATAAGTGAAAATTCAAGCATTAAGATGTCCTTCATCTACTTCACCAACCACTGAACCCATAGTAGAAGCAATCATTTCCAATTGATCTAATTCCTTCAGTGTTTTTGAACTTCTCACAATAACTGTAAGCGCCTCTAGTAGTTTTTCTTGTCTTATTTTAAGGTTTGGATCATTTTTATCGTCTACATTTTCTTCTTCAGGTTTGTTAGAGTTTGAGGGTTTGAGTATTTCTTCACCTTCTACAAGATATTTTACTAAATCAAACATACATCAGAAGTGGATTGTAATTTTTTAATACTTAATTGAGCCAATCAAATATAAAAATATTGCAAACGCAAAAACACCTAATTCCAAATGAAACTATGCTCTCCAATAAATTAATAGAAAATTAATACATACCAATAAACTTTGTAGATTCTTTCTCTTTCAGATAACTGTACTTGATATTGAACAAATCCTTTTTGGTACATAAATGGATCCTATGCAAATCCGAAATTACAGCTGTTTTCCTAATTTCACCCAAAATGTTGTCAAATGGAACATTTTGGGCAATTTTATTGGCTAAATTATCTTTTTCTTCTTTTGTTAGTGTCATATGAGTCAACTCCCCATCGTGGCCTATGTGGTTTTTGATATATTTTGCTGAACAATTACCTAAATCCACAATTTTCATAAAAACATATTGTTTGTGTAAATTGCTGTGTAACTGAATTTGTAGTGCTTTAGGTAAATACTGCGTATACCAATATGTATAGCTGTCTTTTGAGATATTACAACACTATTGTACAAACCGAGGTACAAACACTATGCCCACTGATTATAAAATAGATAAACTTTAGGAATTTCTTTTAAAAACTAAATTTATCTGAGAGAACTTTTTCCTCGGTTTTAACAATGAACTTCCTAAATATTGTATTGTAACAGTTACAATGTCAGTTCCAAAATTTAACTTTGCATAGATATCATCAGAGTTGCAAAGGTAAAATTACCGGTAATTTACGTAAAATTACGTAATATTACCCATATCTCGGTAAAATTGGATGTTAAGTCGATAAAAATATGTCATAAGTCCTATAGTCTATTTCATTGAAGTTGATAGCTCAAATCGAGGTTTAGGACCATAAATTCATTTTAAACCCTATGGTTTATAAACATGTGTGTTGTAGCAGTAGAGACCAGAATTATTAGGGAAACCAAACCAAGGATGTGCGTTAAATTTAAATTTGTCTCTCTTTATTTTGAAAAATAGAAAGAGAAAGCAGTACAATGACCATGTTGATTTCCGCGTTTGTCTCTCTATTTCTGTATCAGAAAATAGACAATAATATTGGTACGATATCGATATTAATTATCAAAAAATATTAGAACATAAGAACGTACCTAATATATTTCAAATTTTGATCTTACACAAGCACAAGAATGTTTAATTTATTTCTCAAAAAAGTTCATCTTACCACCATCAGTAGGTATTTTACAATTAAAATCAACGTTGCATCTTTCATCACATCATTGTAGAATCACCAAGATATTATTTTTCAATTTTACCAATTTTACCGGTAATATTACATAAAATTGCCAGAAATTTTACCAGTAATTTTGCAACTCTAGGTATTATGTTTCTACAATCTGTATAAGTCAAGGTATAGGTATATCCTGTTCACAATCCGATGTCCACAGGTGCAGGTAAATTTATCACCTTTCCCTATCAAATAGCATTGAAAGGTGATAAATTTTACCTGTACCTGTGGACATCGGATTTTGAACGGATAATACTTAAAATCTTACCATCAGATTCAACAACCAAATGTATAGATGAAGGGCAGAATCCATTAATTTTCTTGCTCCCTTTATATTTCAAACGTTTCTTGCCTTGACCTCGAGGGCTATACATTCCTGACCTACTACAAGTATATCTATGAAGTACGTGATTTTTACTTGATTTACTGGTTTCCTTTCTAAATTGTACCGTATTCTCAGTTTCCACTTTCGTTTTCCAATCCTTAAATTCTGATATTGACGAAAATTGAATCTCTTCAGTTTCTAAATGAATATCATGGTCATTTTTTAGGTGATTTAACATTTCTTGTGTCGGGTATGCTGTAAATTTTTTGCAATAGGCACATAGCTTTTTTTGTTTAAATTTTCTATTTAGTTTTATTGAATTATCATCATTTGATGCATTGTATACTATTTTGTGCTCTTTTAATAAGTGCGATTTTAAATTATGTTCGCGACTGAACTGCTTTTTGCACTCGGTACAAGTAAACTTTTCAGCTTTTTCTTGAAAGATTTCATTAAACTTTTCAGCGTGAAATCGTTTAACGTGCACTTTAAGGCAATAGTTATTTGCAAAACAGCTTTCGCAATATTTGCATTTGAATTTTGTTTCTTTTTTCTTGTATAAATTATTGAACTCTTTTGAATGTTTTCTATGAACGTGAATTTTCAATGAATCACTTCTGGCGAATTTCCCATCACACACTGGACAAACGAAGTTCGAAGGCATAATAAAATAGTTATTATTATTCTATAATTATTAATACCTATTTAAATGAAAAATCCAAAACAACAACAAAAAATATATACCAAAAAGTTAGGTTAACGGCTAGCCTGGCTAGTGGCTGGTTGATTCGCTGAAGGGTGCGTTCGAAAATTCACCGCTCCTTGAGGCGGGCACACACATGCGGTATACGGCGAGTCTCGGAACCCATACACATACACACTAATCGCTACTTGCCCAATAGCAAATATTTGTGATTCGAGACTCGCCGAATACCGCATGTCTGTGCCCGCCTTTACCCAGTGTTACAGTAGGCCTTTTCGGAAACACTAATCCGATTAACCCGATTACCAGCTGTTTGTATTTTATCTTCCTTCAATGAATACGATTGAAAAAAGACAAAGGATATCAGCAGGGCCGAGTTCAGAAATAACGCACAGGGTGCGAGTGCGATTTTATGGGTGTGCCTGAATTGACAATTGGCCATTGGGCCTATAGCACCGTCTAGCATTTTTGAACAGCTAGGGTGTCGCACCGGTGTCACCCTCACACTGGGCGTGTCATTCCTGAACTCGCCCCTGGTGATCCGGTTAATCGGATCAGCATTTCCGAAAAGGCCTTGACATTATTAGAGATTTGTTTGTTTGTGTTGTTCGGGGCAGGACTTCCTGCTTTGAGGCGTTCGTTTGTGAGAGTTTTAAATGGTTTATCTGCCATAATCTGGAATATTACAGCTTGGATCAAGTTAGTGCGACACAAACAAACAAACAAACCTATAGATAGATTTATTTAGGGCTGACAGACATGTCCTCCTTTTTTATAGATTTGCTATCGTCCGGCCGGCTTTTCCCGATGAATTCCGAAAGATCGTAAAATTTTTCCGGTTTTTATAAATAAATAGATTTAGATTCTAAGCTACGACCGCTAGTGCAAACAGCTGACGACTTAGTTATGACGTCGGAAATGGTGACACCAATGTGGCGGCGATTACCAAAAACGAGGCCGATAAGCAATCCTTAGTAGTGTGTATTATCCTTGGTATTTATGCGCTATGCCAAGCGTAGGCGCGTTAACGTTAACAATAGTTGTATTAATTTCACACCTAGATTGTAGATTTGTTTCAGAGCTGGGCAGGGCTTGAGCATAGAGCTTGAGTGCTTTGTGCTTGTGAAAGTGCTTGAAGCACTTTGAGGACTTGAAAGCCCTATGCTTCAAGCCCTTTTATATATTTTTAATTGGGGCTTGCAAGGTCAATTACTCTAGAAAAGTGCTTGGTAATTTGTGATTGAAAAAAAGTAATTCAAGCCATTTCAATGCGCATCAATTACTTTTAGAGGGCTTGAAGCACTTTTGGGTGCTTGAAGCACTTTGAAAGGGCTTGAAGCACTTTAAAAGGACTCGAAGCACTTTGAAAAAATTTGAATTGACCATCATTTAACCTATATCCCCTTGTCGCTTAATTTTTTTTTTTCTATTATTTGAACTAGAACCGTCCATAATGTATTTTCTCTCTTAACAATGGAGGTTTTGGGTTTGAGCAGAATTGAGTTAAAAAAAAATGAATGAACTGATTATTCAAATAAATAATTAATTTATATTGGTACCTTATTTAACTTTTATTACTGTTTTTTTTTTCACTTTTTCCCATTAAACATTTTGATTTTTGAAAACCTTAAAATTGAATTACCATGTAGTACCCCAACTACCCCAAGTACCCCAGAACTACATCTCTACAAAAAAAAAATACCACTGCTACTCTATGAAATTTAAAGTTCATCTCCTATACTAAGGGTGGGTATTATAAAACTACTTTGAGAGTTAACTTAAAGTTAACTTCTAGAATTACATGTAATTCAAAAAGTTAACTTTAAGTTAACTGTTAAAGCAGTTTTATATTACCCGCCCTAATTCAAGTTATGAGTGTACAAGGTAGCTTTAGGCACATTTAAAGAGTTTCAAGCACATTTAAAGGGCTTCAAAGCACTTTTTAAGGCACTCCAAGCATTTTTGATGTGCTTCAAGCACTTTCGAAATCACTTCGAGGGCCTTGTGCTTGCCAAGCCCAAAGCACTTTGAGGGCTTTGTGCTTGTGAAGCACTTTTGAAAATAAAATGGAATTTGTGCTTGAAATTGAAAGCACTTCGATAAAGGGCTTAGGGCTTAGTGCTTCAAGCCCTTTTACTGAGGGCTTTGCCCAGCTCTGATTGTTTGAATGGAGATGGCGCAGAGGCGATCTCTACCACTGCAACCTTATCAGATTTATTGTGGTACCTATCTCATATCTGTCCTTAGAGTGCGTTCTCTATAGACCCGTCCTTTTTATTAGATTCCAGAGTCATGATACTGGCCACCCCATGTAGCTTGCCGGATTGCGCTTTTCCTCTGCAAGCCTCGCAAGCCTGCATAGCGCTTCGTAATGGCTCCATACATGTACGGCAGTTTCTTCCGCCTCCTGACATAACCTGCACAGGCTATCCAGTATCCTCTGCCAGGCTCATTCTTTCCAGGTACTTGTTGAGTTTACAATGCCCTGTTAATTGGCCTACCGTTATCCTAACAATCTTGCGGCTGTGGCTTAGTAGGTCCGTTGTGAACTTGGGCGAGCAGGATTTGATAAACTGCTTTGGCTGCCGTTGTCCTGGGTGTTCGCTGCCACCAGCTCTGGAACTCTCTGTCTATCCAGTTCTTAAAAGATGTTTTAAAACTGCCTACAGAAATTCCGAAGAATGATTCTGGGCCTATCATCTCAGTGGCCGAGCCTCCTTTGGCTAAGTCATCAGCCTTTTTATTTCCTGGGTGGCCCTCGTGGCCTGGTACCCTCGCTATGGTAGATAAGTTGTTAGACAGGCCCACCTCTTCTAGGGCACGTACACAGTCCCCAACCAGCTTGGAGCTGATCTTTCGAGAGCTGATTGCCTTCAGGACCGCCTGGCTGACCGAGTATATAACGATGTTTTTACTCTCAACTTTCCTTTCATTTATCAGTATGGCACAGTGCATTACTGCAGCAATTTCCGCCTGAAATACCGTGGCGTACTGTCCGAGACTTGTGGATATTTCCAACCTAGGTTTGTCCCCGTAGATGCCGGGCGGGCTCCGACCCCCTTTCTGGTCTTGGAGCCGTCGGTGTACCAGATGTGGTCTGCTTTAATTGGACGACCTTTCTCCCAGTCTTTCCTCTCTGGTATGGCAACCCGGAAATGCCCATTGAAGATCAAAATAAGTTTTGTTTTGTCTGAGGGTATCTCGAACAATGAGTTGACCTCTGGATCCTCCTCTATTTTCCAGCTCAGGGTCCTTTGGTCTTTTATTATTGAACCCTGGCCTTGCTTCAGTCTGTATAGTACCTAACGCCTTTACTTCACCCTGTATGTGGATATGTGGTGGCGGCCGGTTTAGCAGCACCTCCAAGGGGTTGGGGCTGTTTTCATGGCACCCGTGATGCATACGCAGGCTAGCCTTTGCACACTTTGAAGCTGTTTGATTGCTACGGTCTGTGTGACCTTTGTACCCCAGGCAATCGAACCGTAGGTTATCATTGGTCTCATCACCATTTTGTATAACCATAGATTCATCTTTGGATTAAGTCCCCAGCTATTTCCACAAAGCCTTCTGCATCTCCCCAGGGAAATTTTGGCCTTCTGGACAACTTTATTGAGGTGTGGACCCCAGGTCATCTTTTGGTCAAAAATAACTCCTAGATATTTGAACTCTTTTGAGAAAGGGGATTTCCGCTTCATTGACCTTAGGACATCGAAGTCCTCTTAGGGCGAGTATTATACAACTGCTTTCACAGTTAACTTGAAGTTAACTTTTTGAATTGCATGTAATTTCAGAAGTTAACTTTAAGTTAACTCTCAAAGTAGTTTTATAATACCCACCCTTAGGTATTCTTTTCTTTGTGAACGGGACAATTACGGTTTTTTGCGGATTAACCGACAAGCCTTCATCCTTACACCAGTTATCTACTATCTTCAGTGCTTTTTGAGTTCTTTCTGAGACATGTTCTAGATGCCTGGCTCTCACTAGGTGCCAGGACTATATCATCCGCATAGCCAAGGCAGTAGAATCTCTCCTTGGCCATTTTTGCCAGGAGATCGTCGACCGACGACCAGGACCGCCCAAAACAGTGGCGATAAAATGCCTTCCTGTGAGCAGCCCCTGTTGGGGATGCGCTGCTTACAGATTTTAGAAGCTCTTCGTATCCTTGTGATTTTTACTGATTCATCGATGAGGCTGATGTTCGTTAAAATAAATAATTACACAATAATTGATTGACTGGATTTATTGAGAAAATAATAATAAGCAAACTGGTAATTAAATTAATAAAGTAACAGCAATTAAACTGCTTAAATTTATGTTTTAACAGAGCAAGAGCAAACAAGCGGCAAAGCGCCTGTTGCTAAGAGAGTCATCACCTGTTTCGGCGTAGAAACGGGGTGCATCTAGTATTGCAGTGTTGCCACTAATAATTAGTAGATGGCAACTTGTAACAAAAAAAATTATTATTCCAAAATATTAAACTATTTCTAATAGGAAAACCCAACAGCCCCTTTGCCACTATTGCTTCTACTGTGTCCTCACCCAGAGTAGATGTAATTACCCTGTTTCTTAGGCCTTTGGTTTAGGTCATCCAGTGGCGATAGCTTAGAGGATGGAATGTCAGTGTGCGGTCTCTGATGTATCTATAATCTATATCCACAATTTTTTCCTTTTCCTTCGTTCATCCTCTTTTGGTCACCTTATAGCGTTTGTATCGGTATTTCTGACCCGAACCACACGATGTAACGATTCGTGATTCCTCAAAAGCAGTTGCTACACGAAGATATTCCACGAATTTCAATTACCTTAAATGATCTTTTGCTTTTCAGTGCGACATAAAGATTTTCGACAAAATTTTCGATGTAAATGTGAGATCTTCTTTTCTATTAGCACAGGAAGCACTACCACTGCTGAGAAAGAGCAAAAATGGAAGAATTATATTCATTTCTTCAATTTCAGCGTATTATCAACACAAGGCAAGTTTTACCTACGTAAATAAAAAAAAATCTCAAGTGGAATATGAACGAAACGCTCAATCCGTTTTTAGCTTTTAGGTCCTTACGGCATGAGTAAAACTGCCCTCTTAGCTCTAACCAAATCAGCTGCCAAACAATTAGCTGCAGATGGTATAACTGTGAATTGTATTTGCCCTGGGCTTATAGATACTCGATTTTCAGAAGTGGTAAATTTATTTTTAATAATTTCCAATTCAAATTATCCTGTTCTCATTTCACGTTGTACCTAATATTTTTAGTTAACGAGCGATGAGGAGAAAAATAAAGAAGAACTATCTAGAATACCAATGGGAAGGTAAGCTATTTTACATAAAAATACTCTCATTCTAGATGGAATACATAGTTTTGTCGTCATTGATAAACGTTTTTCGTCAAAATAGTAGCACAGATGATACATTTTTTGGTCATATTTAGTTGGTTGGTGCCTCCCTATTATGCAAAATCCGCAGACCTTACTGAGGGGGAGATTTTGTGGTGCCCTCATATGCTAGCGATTCTTCCCATATGGAAACATTGTCCTATTAAGTTATATACGTCCTTGAAGGCCCCTACTGCGATCTAGCTTCAAAATACTTGGTTTGGCATAAAAAAAGATGGCTGATAGTCTCCTGATCCATAATCAGCTTTCTTGATTTTTTTGGCACTTGGTCCCAGCGTTGCAAATAAGTTCTTCGAGTCTACCCTTCCACATGGGCTTTTGTGGTTCTTCTTGATATCCCATTGCAGGTTTGGATGCCACCAGGGGCGTAGCACAACCCTTTCGCGTCAGCTCAACTGCTTTTTCATCTCCAACAATCCCACAGTATAACCGTGTTTCACTTTGCCAGGTGTATCAGCAATTTTTTACATGCTACTACGGCCCTAGAATTGAATCGACGATATGCCAGTGTTGTAAGGGCCGCTTGACTGAGAAATGGCGTTGGTATTTTCTCCTGATATTCTCTCCGGCGCAGACAATAATAGCGTGATTTCGTCCTGGAATAATGTTGCATGATTGCCCAAAGGCAATGAATTCCGGGGCTGTAGGAATATAGTCCAGCGCCTGATCCAGCCACATTTTTGAGCCGCCGGTAAGCCAGGATGCTTTTTTGGCGTTGGATCAGTTTCCATCCCTTTCCTGTTGGCAGGCAGTTGATTCCGAGGTTGCTCTCAAATTATAATTCCGGGTTGATGTGATCGAATGGCATTCTTAATAGGAATACTCCAGACCAATTCCTTGGATTTTGTGAATTATTTTCTACTTAGCGAGGGTTGTCAGTTTTTCATGATGTACTTTATTTTATCCTGTAATCTCCGATTAGGGCTACCCCAGTAAATCTTGAGCGTCGTTACTGAACCCAGCTTCAGCTACCTGTCTTTCGGCATCTAATATCCCAGATAGTTCGCATGAACCTAGACACTCACACTAGAGTCCCAGGCTTTGAGAACCGTCCTCCTGAGTGCTCATGTTAGTCAGATTTCTGTGACAACGTTCGATGAGTCTGTTTTGCAGCCGCCTAGCCTAAGCTTCAGCTGAATTCACATGTCACGTTTATACTCAGCGTGATCCTTTAGCCCAGGGTATCAGATCAAAGGCGAGGATTGTAACCGGTGTGGCCAAGTGGTCAAGTCCGCACGGTATTCTGTTTTCTACAGGGGCTCGCTGGGTTTGTTAGGTGATTCCTCTTTCTTTAGTTATGTGCGGTTCTGGATGGATTGCGATTCGAACGTGAGCTCTTTGATTTTATTTATATGAGGTCGAGGAGGAATCGCGAACTTTGCCTTGTTGGAGACTGAGATCCTTCGGGTGGTTGCTCCTCTTCGTGGGCCACGAGATGGTAGGATGGTATATCTGACAATCACTAAGGGCGTCAGTTCCAGAATTGCTTTCACTCCTTCGGTGTGGAAAGCGTTGTGACCTCGCATTTTTGCCACCACCCACACCAATGCTTGGTGCGCGTCTTTTATGAATTGATCATAAGATTGTTTTCCTCAACATTTTTGAGCGATATTCAGTGCTCTTATTGTATTAGTCTTAGAGCAGGTAAAGGTGAGGAGGAGTAGTAACATGGAATTGGAAAAAGAAGCCGTTTTTCCAAACACCTGCCAAAAACTTGGCTTCACTTTAGTTTCATAAGCAGAATGGCGCGTTCCTACTCCTTATGTCTGTAGGACAGCGCTTTACCTGCTCTAAGGTATTAGTACTTCCTACAGTGGTCGAATATTTTCCCGATACACCAATGAATAATCGTCTGCCATATTCTCGGACGTGGAAATCGTTTTCATCTCACAAAATTGTTTGGTTTCTCCTATAATATGTTTCATGATTCTCCTTGATAACCAAGCAGGGAGAAAAAGGAGACGCATCAGCTCGGCGCGCCCACTGGCCATACCAGGAGGCATGGTCCAGGTTATCGCTATTGCTGAGGTCGATTTATAAATGTTATAATGCGACAACATTATATACACTGTGCGCCATAAAGTTGGGTACATATGGGAAAATTCTTAATTATTCCTTTTTCCAAAAAACTTTTTTTGGGGATCGTTAGGGCATGTTCGATAACCAAAAAATCGATTATGACACATGTCATGTCATTTTCCTGATGACCAAGAAATGTGCAAAAAGGGACATGGGTAGCGACACGACCGGACGGTATTTTCTAATTTATGACCTTCAAGTATGTATTTCGCAAAACAATCGATTCGTTTGTTTTATTTTTTTCTCTCTGATTTGCTTCAAACTCGGCATGTGGAGTTCTTTTTCGATTCTGAACAATTTTTTCTTGTAAAATTTTTTGATATCTTGCCCAATTTACCCCTTTTTCGAAATCAATATCAACTTTTTCCAAAATTCCCGCTAAACCGATAATCGCATGACATGTGTCATAATCATGCCATAATCGATTTTTTGGTTATCGAACATGCCCCAACGATCCCCAAGAAAAGTTTTTTGAAAAAAGGAATAATTAAGAATTTTCCCATATGTACCCAACTTTATGGCGTACGCTGTATAAGGATAAGTACCTACCTATCACTGGGTTCATCTACTATTGTCTGGCTAGCCAAACGGCGAACTGCAATAGAATTTGCTGCTTTGCCAAACTTGGCAACAATAATAAATAAGTTAGTGACTTTTTTTTTTGCTATATGGGCATAATATGTAGTATTTTGAAATAGAAAAAAATCCGGCAACATTGCGAATGATGGATGTAGAGATGCGTGATTATTCAGAAACATGATGCTATTGGTTAGAGCCTGAACGACAGCACGCAGTGGCGTGGTTATTGGCGAAACTAAAGAATTTTTTTCTAATAATTTTATTAGGTTTATTTCCTTGGTGTTTTCGGTGCCACTTGACCCAAAGGCATGGCTGTCATCAGGCGGTGTCAGTTAAGGTGTCAGTGAATATTTTTAGGCTACGCCCCACTTTTCTTCCCCCTTTCGTCTCTACCAAGCTACCACTTGCCAGACTATACCTACCTATGTTTTCAACAGTTTTATGAAAAAAAAATCCAATGGGGCCGTCCCGTCCCGCCTTATATTGAATATTGAATTTGCCCATAAAACGAGTCTATTCAAAACGCGCGCCTAACGTGACGTCAGGAGACTCTGCCCAATAGTATTTTAGTCTCCCAATCTGTAGAAATCAACCAATTAAGGGGGCGGTTATGATATTGAAATATGTCAGTTCTGTGATTTTTTGATCAAAATGAAAACTGTATATCTGCCTATTTTTCAGGGTTAAGGTCGTTATGGAATATTTTCCTTCGTCTCTTATTGGCTGGAGTCATAATACGTCATAAAGGCGCGAAAACATCAATTTCAAATAATGACAAAAATTCATTCTTGAATAAAATTGTTATGTTTCAATGCGTTATTGTAATAATCATATTAAACGGTAATTTTGGGCAGTAGAAGTACTTGTCTCACCTTAGAAACATTCATTTCAAATTAGCAGGACGGCCCCATTAAAATAGCTCAACCATCAAGTATATTTTTACTCAGAAACAGGAAATTTTGTCACGATGCTTCATTCTCATTTGTTAGGGAATTAGTGACTTCAATTAATTATTGTTAACATAATTAAAATTTCTTCCATAGAGCTGGTACTCCCGAAGAAGTAGCAGCATCAGTCTCCTTTATTGCTTCAGATGATGCAGAGTATCTCACTGGAGAGAATATTTTGGTAGCTGGAGGATTTTCATCTAAACTCTAATGAAATACACTATTGGAAAAAGAGAAGTATTCGGTTTTAATTTAGGCATTTAATTTTTGTATTGTGAAAGGCTAGAAACCTAAATAAAAATCAATAGATACCTAATCAAAACTTCTTAAATTTTTTGATAAGTAATAAGTGACACTGTTTTATATAAAATCAAGAAATACCTTTAGAATTCTGGAGAAAAAAAATCTGAAAAAAAAAATTCATAATTTTAACAGTGTGGCAGAATATAAACCAATAGTATCTACGAAAAACACAAGTGTTAATGGTAGCACATTTGGTAACAACACCAACTGCACTACTCATACTATGAGAACTATCAGTTTTTATTGATTCTTGACACGGCTAGATCAAACAATACTCGTGGTTTGGTTGTTCCCCGCAATAGAAACCGAATTCTCATTCATTGGATGCTCGCTAGTTACCGAGCGGCTTCGAGCTTGCTAGCTCTGATCAGTACCTACTAAAGATCAGTACAACCAAAGACACAACATAATCGAATGCATACCAAATCAGAGAAACAGGTTCGAAGGAGACCACGACTAGATAGGAATGATAGAATATGAAGACTCATTTAGTCTCCCAATATTACTGTCTTTGAGATGATTTCAGAATAAAATGTTTATCTCAAATATTTTTTGTGATAATGCCATTTTCTCCATAAGAAACGATTGAATAAAGAAAAAACATAAATTAAATTCACTTCTCCTTGTCCTCGAGATTTTAGTGGAGTAGTACATCATTTTTTCTAGAATAATCTCTTGAATTTGGTTTCGCAATTCTCGAGAAAAAGGGTGAATTATTAAGTTTTTTGATATGCAACCCTTCATCCTTCATCGTTTTCGAAGCAATTTGAGGGAGTATTCTAGAAAACTTTATTGTTAGCTACCTGTTAAAAAATTATATTATTATTATATCCTTATTCTTGAGAAAAAAACCGTGTATTGGTAGGGTCGGCGCTAGCGATTTTGGCGCTCTAGGCAAATGAACTGTCTGCCCTTCAAGTGAAAATACAATTAATATGACTATTATTGATTATTTTAAAAAACAGGTCCTATAGTGTAATGAAGTTCACGTGCGCCTCCGCCAGGGTGTACAGAATTGCATGGATAGCTGATTCTGTTACAGTGCTATTCAAGAAAAAGGTCTATCGCGTTTCTTGATTACGGATATAAAAGGCCGGTATCTACTATCTATTAGTTAGTATATAGTTCTTAGTTTTTAAGATTGGTTGTGATATGATTCAAATAGATTATTGAAAGAGTTGTAAAGAGTTAAGTTGTTTGAGTTAATTAGTGAAGTAATTAGTTTCAGGTGTTTAGTAACTTTGAGTTTTTGATAAACGGACCCCAAGACTTCTGTGACGCACCCCAGAGCCGTGACATTGGTGTCAGAAGTGAGATATAATTCGAGTACTGCCAAGTGAAATCCGATTGCAGAGTAGTTAGAACACTAGTGTAGACACTAAATGAACACTGAGACAATTAATCAGTGTAAGCAGTGACAATCACAAAAAGAGATTTCAACGATTGTGTAATAAATTACCTACACCGGAAGTGACTGTATGCCCGATTTTGACTGTGATGGTGAATTTTCAAGTAAGTTCTAAAAAAATCTATTTGGAATCCAAGGGAGACATCGAATTTGTGACTTCACCGAGGTGTTTGCTAGATCGACTGACATTCAGGAAATACCATGGAATGGAAAGACATTTCAAGAAAATTTTAGAACATTCTATTCGAGAATGAAGCAAGTTATCCAATTTATGACTTCACCGAAGTGTTTGGAACTTCAATCAAAAACCAGGAAAGATATTAGAAGAGATTTTGAGGAAAATTCCAGAATATTCTGTTTATGCCTATTACGAGACAACGAGCAAAATTGGAAAAACAAAAAATTGAAGAACTTCTGCGCAAAATGTTTGAACTTCAAGAGACCAATTTACGAAAAATAAATTGAACTTTATTTACTAAAAGTAGTTACTTAACTGCAATCAATAAGACTTTCAAAAACGTGAAAATCCCTTCCTAGGTATCTCATGTTATTTATTTTTTTTTAAATAATAATAATAACTTAGACATCTGGATTTATTATACAGGGTGTCCCACGAGGTTGCTCCCAAATGATCATTTCGGAACGCATCATCGTATGTTCCACTGTATAATTTTCTGTCATATCCTTCAACAAAGCCTCAACAAATATGGCATAGCCGATTTTGTAATTTAATTTTCTAACGAAAAATACCATAATATACCATGAGTTGTATTTAAGATTCGAAAGTTGACGTCACTTGACCGAAATTGAAGCAAAAATGGTAAAATTAGATGACAATGGCATCAGAAGCGGCACAAAAAGTTACCCAGATCCTCAAAATTTCAATTATATTGGATGACGCGTTCCGAAGTTATCACCTGGGAGAAACATCGTGGGACACCCTGTATTTCACCTTGTATATTAATGAATAAAATTTGAATAAACTGTAAAACTATTAAAAAAAATCTCTAAAACCTCTAATGGCCGTTTGCACCGATCATTTTAAGGGAGGTTTAACGATAATCAACGTTTAAAGTGACACATTCACATGTAAAAATGTCACTTTAAACGTTGATTATCGTACCATAAATGGTATAATTTGTCTTTTTTCAATACCTATAAAACCTAGAAAGGGATTTTTTATGCTTCTCTCTATAACTGTTGATTATTGAAGATAAACATATCAAATCCTATATCGTTGAAATCAGGTTAGAAACTACTAACAAATAGTCGCACAATATACAGGGTGTTCCATTATAAAAAATATAACTTCACACTGCTGCACTTTTTTGACGCACCCTCTGTATGCCTGAAACTGACTTAGTTGAAAACTTTCGACATTATCTTGAAACTGAATGATAGATCTGACACTTTTGTCAAAAATGTCATGTCAAATGAAAAAGTTAGAAATAGTTTTCAAGGTAGCTTCAGTGTATCCAGTCCTATGTATGGGTAACTCTGATTAACTCTATAGGTTTAAAATGTTCAAAAAAACATTGTAAAATTTACTGGAAAATAAATAAATAATGCTGATTTATGTTGCGAATCAAGTTTTTCAGTTGTCACCCACTACATGAATAAATACACAGAAAAATAGACATATGTAATACGGGCATAAGTGAGTTATGGGGGTCAATTAACTCACTATACCTACCTTATGCACACCTGTACCTATACCTGCATTTTCTTTGCTTGCCTAATAAATAACTATTTACTCCATCTGGTTAATCCTTGATGAAAAAAATATTGCATGACAAAACATAGGCCAAATTAATGTCATCTTGGAATACTAGCTTCACTGCCACATTTTTACCTCAACACACCATACCATAGACCATTCACCTTTTTTTTTTAATTTAAATCAGGTAGTAACAACTCAGAAATAACTTAATTGAACTCTAGCCAAAAGGTCATTGGTTATTGACTTCTTCCCTTAACTACTTTTCATACAAAGAAGCTTATTTGTAGATTTATTGACAAAGTTGAGAAAAAAATACAAAATTTAAAGCACAAAGAACTTCATGTAGCATTGGCACCTCTGTACACATTTTCGATTTCATGTTATATATTTGCTTTTCACTTATTATTGGCGTAGTGGCGTGCCATGGAAACTTGGCAGGTTGACCCTCGTATAATAATGACGGTATATGTCAAATTCCAGACAGTTTTAAGTGTGGTTTACATAATTTCGTAGGTGCCGCGGTATTAAAATTTTCTGGCCTATCTGGCAAATCAAATTTGACACATTTTTCAATAATGCTATATTATAAACAGTACCTAACTATTTCGCGTACCTGCAAAATCTAATGACATTTTTTGAAATTCGGCATTGTCAAATTTCTTTGGCATTGAAGATGCCGAAAATAATCTCGGAAGAAAAAAAAAGGAAAATATTAAAATGTCATGGTTATTTAAAAAAAAAAATAAACCAGAGGCTCTCCAGGGAACAATTGAAGCCCAACTTGCAGATATATTTGAGGTAGGTATAACTTAAATGTACATGTGAAGCCATTTCTTACCCAACCAACATTTTCCTTAAATTTTAGGTGGGAACCAGGACTATTCAAATAATTTTGACTGGACAATATACAATCAAAAAAACTTTAGGCCGACCAAAAAAGACAGAGACTATTATGGATCGAATGTTTAAAGAAGATTTACAACGACAAATTTGGAAATACAATTCTAAAATGAATATTTTACATTACAAACATTACTGACATAGGCAAAAGAAAATTTGGAATTTAAGGGGGAGGGCAAACAAGTACCATGAACGCGGACATCTTCCAAAAATGGGTCGTTGATCAACTAATTCCTGCATTGAATATATTTGAAGAAAATAATAGTAATAATCATGGACAACGCTCCATACAGGGCCGTAGCTAGAGTCAAATTTATGATAGGGCATGACAAATTTGGCATAGGGCATACACTTCTTCCCTCTCCCCCCTTAAATTTTTCATGGGTGAACGTAATGGGGCTAATGGCTCCGAAGGCAAATATTTAAATAAATCAAGGTTCAGGCTGTCTGGTAACATTGTTTATTACATTTAGGCGACTTAGGCGTTTTCGGAAACATTCATCCTCGCTTACTCGATTTCAGGCCTATCTACTTCAGACATTATCTACTCTTAAATTTTCTAGAGAAAACTTATGTTGATTTTTAAAAGTAGGGCATCATCATTTAAAAGATAGGGCATTGCCCCCTGACTACGGCCCTGGCTCCATATCATTCAGAGCAGAAGGATAAACCACCTTCATTCTCTTCAAAGAAAGACAAAATGCAGGAATGGTTGATTAAACATAACTTATACTTCGACACAAAAATGATCATAAAACAACTATGGGACAACAATCGATCCTGCAAAAGAAGATATTTGGAAAGAGAGGACCAGGAAGAAGAAGAATATCGTGACGGAAAAATCTCAGAACATTGTTTAATAAAAGCTCACCACAACTCTTCCATATTGCTGCGAGTTAAGTGGACATCGCCATAATAATCGATGATCGCCGACATTCATAAGGGATAGGCACATCCAGAAGAAGAAGAAATAAAAAAATAAAAATAGAAGAAATGCCGTTGAACCAAACCCAAAAAAAAAGTTACTGCAAAAACATATTTTTTCTACTTGCGTGCGCAAAGTAATCACTTTGCACACTCATTTGCGTGCGCAAAGTTGAACTTTGCGCACGGAAACTCTTTGCGCACTCATTTTTGTTATGCATAATTACCATAGTTATACTTGATTTTTCAATGTTTTTGATGGTTTCTGAATAAACTAATATTCAAAATGAAGGGTTTTAGTTGAAATTAGCGCTTAGCTAACATGATGTTTCCTATCAAAGGTGTCCAAATTGGACCAGCCTGTACTGCTAGGAATTTGTAGAATTTTTGATATTTGAGAGACTCTCATGCAAATATTCTAGCCGGTATTCTAGAAATTCCAGAAGATGTTAAAATATTTTTGGGGATTTAATTTAAAAGACATTTTGAGGAATTCCAATAGATTTAAAACGATTTTTGAAGATTTTGATTTGATTGATTTTTCTAATATTTTAACAATTCAAAGTCTACTTTTTTAAGATACTCGTAGAAAAAATATTGTTCCTAACACTTGCGCAAAGTTTCTTTCCCGCACTCAAAGCTTATCCGAACTCCGCTTCGCGTCGTTCGTATCACTTTGCGCACTTGTTAGGAAAATAACTATATGCTATTGAGCTTACTGTTATGGTTACGTTTAATTAATAAATTGAATAATTTTACTATTTGAATATACTCAGATATTTTACACATTCTGGCAACTCGGCTTTCTGTTTCATAACCCTGAAATTTGAAAAATAATTTGTCATCAAATGTCATTATTATACAAGGGTCAACCTGTCAAATTTCCATGGCACGCCACTACGCCAATAATAAGTGAAAATGGTATAGCTCATTTATTTTAATTAAAATTTTTATATTTTGCAGACGATACCTGCTCCTTAGGGCACATATTAGAAAAATAGTTTTGATTATCCAGGGTGTTCCAAAAAAGGGTGTCGTCATGATTATATCTTTTTTTGGATTACATGCCCTTTAGTTGCTTTCAAAAAAATTTAGAGGTATGTAATGTAACAAAAATATTATTATGACATACCACTTTTTTGGGATACCCTGTATAATCAAAACTATTTTCTTGAAGTACTCCTGCTGCAAAATAAGGAATTGTAAATCAGTTAATAATTAAGCTTCCTACATAAGAGACAAAACAAAAAAGTAGGAATAAATACACAGAAAATTCAGACGAAATAAGGCTACCATTGATTATTACAAATTGATTTTATTTTAAAACAACATATTTATCAAAAGCTTGTAAAAAACCCATGGGTAGTTTTGGTACTTCTTACAAAATTTACGTACAATTTTATATTTTGTAGACAGTCTAGATTGGACAATGTTTCATTAGCGTTGTATTACATTTAAATATCAAAAAAATTAGTTGAAAAAATTATGTTTAAAAGTCAAAGCTCACAGCTGCAGAGACAGGAAACAGTACATTAGAAATTTGGTATATAAAAATATCACTGCATAATTAATTTCAATTACCACAAACATAACATTTTATTAAGGCAAAGAACGTGATGGTTGAAGCAAGCAAATAAATATTCAATTAATAAGTACAGTAATCGGTATATAAGGGTGTAGATAGTCATTTTACCACAATGGTCCTGATGAGTGTCCACCTGGGGGCACTCTAGGGCGACTGGGCGGAGCAGCCTGTGTAGGTGAAGGAAGGGTTTTTTCTTGAACAGAAGCTGGTGCAGCTGCCTTAGTCGGGGTAGTGGGACTAGTGGGAGTAGTGGGTTTATCCACATTGGTACCTTCTAGAATGGAGGAAGCATTGCGGCCATTGTTCTTTCTTACTGGTGGTTCAGGGGCACCGAATATATCAGTGTGACCTCCACCTGGAGGTTTCAAGACTTTGCTAGAGTTTTTGTCTGCCAATCCCATGAATACGTTAGTGGAAGTCATGTTGCTATATCTACTGGAAGTAAAAATGAAGATTTATTAAAAACATTGCCTAGTGAAGCCATAAAAAGAAAAATTGACACGCCTAAATTTAATTAAATATAGATTTCTCTTTATGAGCGTTTGTTTGTTTGGTTAGTCAGCCATCCGGTTATAACTGGTTATGCATGCCCATAAAAAAAGGCAACCGCAACAAAAAACCAATAAAATAACAAAAATAACTGAACATTGAGTTTAATATTAAAAAATAAAAAATAAACATTCTATTTACCTTAAAAAAGATGTGAAATTTGTTCAACTGCACGTGCAACGTTCACTACAAAAATTACTTTTGGCGGCTCGGCGGGCTAGTTTGGCTTGGCTTGGCGATGGCGTGACACCTTCTTCACTTTTATTTTGATCAGTGAATGGAAAAATGATGATGGGGCGAATGGGCGGGCGAGAAGCGTGCGCTGTGCTGTGGCAAGTTCTAACGGAAAGAAAAATTAAATTGATGTCAATGTCAATAATTCATACGTCAACTAAATTCCTAGGGGTGCGTTCGAAATCACTTTGGGCGTCACACCGGGTGCACACTTGCCGTTCGAAAATGAATTCGTATAAACTACGGTTGACTTTTACGCTAGTTCGGATTGTTCGGAATCGAAAATAACCGGGGTGCTACCCAGCGTGCACTCTTTCTTAACCAACTCTGCCGCTAGGTAAATTTTACTCCTGTCATTTTTGTCAGTTTGAGTTTAGGCCTATTCGAGTTTGAAAAACGGGCGGTTCTAGAACGTTCAAAGCTAAAGGTACGGTTTGTTAGGATAGTACGCGACGCACAACTGACGGATGACAAATGACGGACACCCGTTTTCTGACGTCAGCGTCAGAAAATGGGTGTACGTCATACCTGAACCAATGACGACGTTTACGTTGTCAGTTGTGCGACGCGTACTCTCCTAACAAACCGTACCTTTAGATCGTAAGACGCTGTCCTACGGACATAAGGAATAGGAACGCGCCATTCTGCTTATGGAACTAAAGTGAAGCCAAGTTTTTGCCAGGTGTTTGGCACCAAAATACAGGTAAAGCATTGAAGAATTGCCTATACCGCCATTTTTTTGGTGCCAAAATACCTGGAAAAAAACGGCTTCATTTTCCAACTCCATGTTACTACTCCTCTTCACCTCTACCTGCTCTAAGGTTCAAAGCAATATCGCACAGTTTATTATTGAAATTTGTGATAACCAAGCACTAGTGCTTTGGCATGTGGGGCGCTTCAGTTTTGTTTTTTGATGTTTTGAGTGGTTTGACTAGTTGTATTCTTTGGGTCGACCCCGATTTTGAAAGGAACGGACAGCGCCGGTTCAAGGCTCTACCGGGCCCTAGACGGCAGAAGGTATGGGGCCTTAGGGTGGATTTTCATGCATCCGTTTGTCCCACGAAAGATGTCCGAAAAACATTCTATTCTGACATAATCGTATAAAAATATGTCAAAATAGAAGATTTTTCGGACATATTTCGTCGGACAAACGGATGCATGAAAATCCACCCTTAGCCCAAAGTAACTTTTTACTGTTTTTGTCCAAATGAAAAAAAAAAGCCTTTGCTTTGCTACTGGAAAGTGCTTTGGAACGATCTAAATGGCTTTTTGCAATTTTGCAGATCTAAAGTGTTCTAATTTGGCTTGAAGAGTTCTGGAGCATTCTAGAAGTTTTTCAGTAATTTCTAAATTATTCTGACAGATTTTTAAGTATTTTAGAGCCCTTTTGAAGCTCCAAAAAGTTCTAAAATGGTTCAAAAAAGTTCTAAAAGGTTTCCTGTTCTAAATTAGGATTCAATTTAGAACTTTGAAATTGTTCTAAAATAACTCTGAAGTTTCTCAATTGCTCCAAAATACTCCTCATGGGCGTAATTGACGTAAGCGTAACTAATCACGGGATTTAATTTGTGCGATTTCATTAACCCTTTTCACGTGACTCCAGTTTAACAAACCGCAACATACCGCTCAAATTTGAGTGGTAGGTATCCATCACGTCACTTTGTAACCGGGTTAGAAAACGGTATGTCATTTCTCTAACCGTTTTGTAACCCGGTTAGTTAAACCGGAGCCACGTGAAAAGAACTATAGGCGGTAGTGCAACCATCTTGAATTTTTGACCTTAAAGCCTAGTACTCATAACTGCGAAATTCGCATTTTTTTGACATTGCGTTGACAATTTGACGTTTTATGCGTGTATCAAACGTCAAATTGTCGAAGCAATGTCAAAAAAATGCGAATTTCGCAGTTATGAGTACTAGGCTTTACGCTGCCGTTACGGCAAAAAGTTGGGTTATGTTGAACTTTTCGGCGTAATCGAGAGGATTCTTGATCGAGAGGTGCTTTCCAGTCAAGGATGATACACACTACTAAGGATGGCTTATCCTCATAAGGCCTGTGTGTAACAAATCCCCCCCTACCCCGCCTAGCCAAAAAATCAGTTGTGACGTAAACATCATGGCGTTTTTCGTCTTGACGTAGGCTGTTTGCACCACAGGTTATGTTATGATCTGGCTGCTGGCTGGAAATTATGGAACTAGTTTCTAGTATAATTAAAGTCTAAAATTATATCAGATACATATAATCATGACTTTTAATCATTACTGTTGTGTTCCTCAATGCAAGTCTTGGGGTAAAAAAAAAAGCTGACAAAGGATTGAGTTTCTACATATTTCCCCTTGAAACAGGCCCACGGGTTTATTTGGAAACGAAAATGGAAAAAGAAGTGTCGAGAAGAAAAGCCTTCTGGATTTTAAAACTTCGTATTGGCAAACCAGTCACCAAATTCATGAAAGTGTATTCTCTGCATCTCAATTAAGCAAGAATTTTGTGTTAAGGTAAACAAGCATAATGGATAGTTTTGTGGTTTTGTGCCCTAGCTTCATTTTAGGCCTGCTTCTAGGCATTTATCAAGTACTATCTATTTTTAAAATGTTTTGTTTGAAAATATTGACTGTTTTTATTATTTACAGGTGAGAGTACAGGTCTTAGGGCGGGTATTATAAAACTGCTTTGACAGTTAACTTTTTGAATTACATGTAATTCCAGAAGTTAACTCTCAAAGTAGTTTTATAATACCCACCCTTAGAGGTACAGGTAGAGGTCGGATATTGAAAAAAACAGTTGTACCATCCCAGAATTTGCCCTCTTCAAAAAATAGATTCCATGGTTGCTGAAAAACTTGCCGAAAGAAAAAGAAATCAAGATTCTAGTGAGACTGATACAAGTAATGAATGTAGTTATACTTTTAATCAATTATGAAACTCTTCTCAGATAGGCATACAAATGGCCGAGCAAACAGCAGAACGTGTAAAGTGTTTATTAAATCCTAATTACCAGTATTATATTATAGGTAGTTCGAGTAAAAATCAGATTTGTGGTCAAGTTATTTGACTTTGTTAATTTAATTTTCACCTATTTATAAATAAAAATAAAGAGTTATTTATAAAATGTTTATTTATTTATTACACATACAAGTTATTCAAATACAGACATTATAAGGGAGATCCATACCAGCCTTGAGACCCTTTTGGCAATGTCCTATTGTAGAAAGTTTACAAAAATATAAGAAAAAGATCCGGTTAGGCTGTTGTATAGATATAATCATTTCGGGTCAGATAAACGAAATAGATTATAATGAATTTTGGCCTGCATCATCACGAGCAGCATTATGGGTGAAAATTATTACCCAGTGTGAAACTTTCGAGAACAGTGAATAAATAAGTCGATATTGCATTTGCAGCACATTGTTCTTCCTCGGCTGCTACAGTTTTGACCACCACATCGTTTTTTTTACGTTCAGGAAAAGTGTTTCAATAATGATGCAGTCCATAATACCTTATATCATTATTGACTCAAAAATCACTTGCTGCAGCCCGAAGCATATTCTCCTGTAGCGCAAGGTGGTACTTTATATTTCCTCGGGTATGTCTGAAAATAAAAATAAGGTTAAAATTGTATGATTTCCCAAAAAATTGTTAATTCTACTCTACCTGTGATATATTTTCCATTCGAATAAACAATTTCTGCACTAGCACAAAAGTTGCCTAGTAGATAAGTCAAAACCACGTTCCTCATCTGCTGAATCTTAGTCAGTGAGCTCTTTGCTTTCTCTGTGGGCTCGATATATTATGCCATCAACATTTTCATTATCATAAGCAGTATTCAAAGCTTCCTGATGGCTAATTCCACAAACAAAATGTAAGTACAGCTAAAAATGTTAGCTTCTGCCCAGGCCCATATGCCATATGGGACAGTAATATTTACAAGAATATAATACATAAACAAACAATTTATGCTCGAATAGGAATATGTTATAATAATATGAGAAAACCCTAAAAACAATTAAATAGTATAGAATAAATTATCTTATAGTTATTATACTTACATAAAGAAATGTAAACAAAACGCCGCGTAATTCTCCTAGGGCTCCATTAAATCATACATGCTGAAAACGTGTAAATAGGCGGAATGACGAAAGCTAGCCAGATATCGCGCTACTGGTTCCATCATAGCATAGGGTACCTTTACCCGCTATAATGGTTAATCAAAATCAAAATAAAATATTTTTCATGACAAATTATAAATTTATAAAACCGCTGGCGCAAACAGCTGGCGACTTTGTTATGACGTCAGCAGTGGTTAGAAACAGTTGAAAACCAATATGGCGGCAATTACCCAAAAAGGGGCCGATAAGCACTCCTTAGTAAGTTTATTCTCCTTGCTTTCCAGTGACCCACTTGAGTTACTCCTATGCAGCTCAGGAATTTTCCACACTTACTTCACGCGTTCCAGTGCTAGAGTTTCGTACATTTGAACTACTAATTTCTGTTATCCCCTGCCCCCTCATGCACCAACCATTATTTCGGTGTTTCATGCTCCTAAAGCCCGAAATGGTAGGGGCAGTGTTGCTAATGATCCGTATAATTATCGAATTCTACCATAATTTTGACTACAATTCAATAATCGATAGTGACAAGCTAATCTACCATAATTTATTGAAACTATAATTTTAATACAGATTTTTCAAATTTTTAGTTTAAAATTAAAAATTACCTAATTAAAAAAATTGAAGGTGGTTGTTGGTTTTGAATGTTTTGACGTACTGGTGCGAGCACCAAACACTATAGTCCCAGAGTCCCAGCTAGAACCAGAAAAATGAAAATAGAGATGAAAAGTCAAAAAAGTGGACAGAAACTTTTTCTGATAATTTTTCTTGGAATCTGATAATTTTGTTCTCAAATCCTGGAGTGCGTTCAAAAACGGCAATGCTAATGCCAAAACCTATTATTCCCCTTCTACCGGGGATGCCAAATTTGGTGTGAATTCGCTGGAACGCCAAATACCGTTTCTCAATAAGCAATCCAAACCACGTGACATTCAATGGCGTGGCGACCATACATGGACCAAAAAACACAAAAAATATCTAGTCTCTTCCCGTCTTAATAGGTTACGTAATTAGTTAACAAATATTTTATTGAATAATCAAAATCGAAGCTGCAAACAAACAAAATGATTGAAATATGCATGAAAACACATAACTTGCTGGTCGCCACGCCATATTGAATTTGGTCTCATCCAATCAAAATTCGTATAACCATTTCTAGACTCAGTTGAAAGAGCCTCCAAAAGTTACTTTACCGCGGCCGATTTGGAACGTGTAAAGCCAACCGTTTTTGGCACGCTGGAGCCGAACTTGAACGCAATATGCCAATTTTGGCTCGGCTTCAGCCGTTTTTGAACGCGGCCCAGATAATTTTGAGTTTGACATCTGGCAACACTGGGTAGGGGTTAAGAAAATTGAGGTTATTAGGCAATCTCAATCACGTGATTTTCTAATGGCCGTTCGGCTCAAATATTGCGGTGACAAGCCAGTGACGTTTGACGTTCATAAGGAGAGCATTTGTGTTCTGGCTCTTTCTGCTTTCGAAGTGAATTTTATGTGTTTCTACGTATTTTTCATTGGTTTTGGTCATTGTTGTTTTCATAGTGAATTGTGAATTTTATAGTCTTTAGTATTTCTACGTATTTTTTAGTGTTGTGGCCCTTATTGTTTTCAAAGTGAATTTTATAGTGTTTCTACTGTTTCTACGTATTTTTTAATTTATTCATAAATTCTGAGATGGATAGTGAATATCTTAAGGTATTATTATTAAGGGAAACTCGAGCTTTTAGTTGCAGCAATCCATAAAGCCGTGCGTTGTTTTGATAATTCATATTTGTAGATCAAAAGCCAATGATTTAAAATAGCAGGAACTTAATAAAATTTCACATTATCCCTGTTACCTCGACTTCCACACCCAATTACGATGCAAATCGCTGGCATTTTAATTAACACAATACCTAAACACACAAAAAAACACAAAATCCGATAATTCAAATCTGGGGTGCGATTTTCGAGACCATTCGCGAGTACATTTCGTACACGAAATTTGACTGCTCCCCATTTAATTTACATTGCTGTCAGTCAAATTTCGTGTACGAAATGTAGTCGAATGGTCTCGAAAATCGCACCCCTGGACGTTTGTCCAGAATGTGACAGAATCAATGACATACAGAATAAACAACACAGTGCTTGACCCAATGCTTGACCCGAACTTCCATATTGAATTTCGTTTTTGACAGGTCAGTAGATTGCCTAATTGTCAAATAAAATCGGTCAGACGTCACAAGCTACCACACTTGAGCATTCCAGTGCTGCTCATGTCGAACAGTTCAAGAGCGTCACACTCCAGGGCTGAGATCACGACAAGTGGAATTCTACTAGAATACTACTTTCATGACGTCAGGTTGCCTAGCAATCGTCATCATTGCCTGTACTGTACGCGATAAATAGGTCGCAGTTGACGTCATTAAAGTAGAATTATACTTGTCGTGATTCCAGCCCTGGAGCATGATATGATACTCAACAATTTAGGCACTGGAAAGCAGCTGAGGCAAAGTTCCAAAGTTGTGACGTTTATTTTTGTTTTTTCTGATATTTGATAGAATAATCACAGAAAACCAAAAAAAAAGGACTACAATAACAACAAATTAGTGAATTTTAATTACAATCTGGCAAAAAATAAACACATGTAATTCAAAAAGTTAACTTCAAGTTAACTGTCAAAGCAGTTTTATAATACCCACCCTTAGAATATGATTTTGTTTTGGTTTTGATGCACCACATGCGGGATGTTACGCCAAAAATGGCGTAGAATTGACGTTCATGCCGATTGCGCTAATTACGCTCGTGGGGACTCGCCCTAACCGTCTTGTAACCACTGATTTCAAAAATAAATGGATAAACCATACGGCGAGGTGCTTTCCAGTGACCCATTTGAGTTACTCCTGAGCAGCTCAGGAGTGCTCCACAATTGCTTTACGCGTTCCAGTGCTTAGAGTGTCGTACACTTGAGCTACTCATTTCTGTTATCCCCTGCCCCCTCGTGCACCAACCCTATTGTCTGTGTTTCATGCTCCTGAAATCCGAAATGGTGGGGGTTAAGACGAGAGCGTTCCAGTGCTGCTTATGTCGAACAGTTCAAGAGCGTCACACTTCAGGAGCATGATACTCTACAATTTAGGCACTGGAAAGCGGCTCTTTTGATTGGCAAAATTTGTGCGAAAATTTGGGGTCAATATTCTACGAACAGTTGTGCAACGGAACAGCCTAACGCCTGCGCAGTGTCTTATCTTTCGAACAACTGTTCTAAATTTTGAAATTCCTTCATTTTCATTGGTCAGACTTTGTGCACACACAGTACATGTATCTATTGCGCACGCTCACAGCTGTCCGAGTCAGTTGTTTTTGTTTAGATTATGACCTCGTAAATTAGCAGCATTAGAAGCGTTCTTTGTTTATCCATTTATTTTTGAGATCAGTGCTTGTAACCCGGTTAGTTTAAACCGGAGCCACGTGAAAAGGACTCTAGACTCTAGTGTCGCTGACAATTGACAAATTACCGAAGGGAGCAGTAGCCAAAAATCCGATGATTTAAGAAGAAATCATATTTTCATAAACATAACCTCTTTTTTTTTGTTATTCTTTGTAATCTCTGTGTTTAGGATATTTGTTGTGTTGTACATTTTTTAAGAAAAAAATTCTGATATAATGGCCAATAGAGCTCTGCCCCAAAGTAAAGAGGCTCTCTTAAAGTCTTACAGGACCAGACTTAAGGATGATGTCAAGAGTATGCTTGAAAATTTTGAAGGTAGGGAGAAAAGTTAGTTAGTGAAGGAAGTTGGAGGACTCCTTCGTTCCCAGGAGAACGAGTGTTCTTTCTTTCTCAATGATATGCAAATGATAGTATAAGTAACAAGGAACGCTGCTCCCCTGTTTCAAGAATAATGACCCAGATAGAAGATAGAGCACTTTTCTGCACGCATTTTAGGTCATGAAAGTATTTCGCATTTCTAGTACTAGGTTCTAGTCCTAGGTTCAAATCCCAGTCGCCTACATCTATTTTAGAATATTATGGATAAAATTAATCATCACAAAATTCTTTACCTGCTTTCAATTCCATTGTATCAAATTCCTCTAATTCAGTCTGTATGATATAAGTTGTGGAAAGCTTGGATAAAAACCATGTCTTTTAGAAAGAGATACCTCAAAAACTTTTTCTGAACTTTTTCAATTAGGTCTGCATGGATACCTTTTAGTTACAAGATTCCAGATTACTGTGGCATATAAGTACTAGCTTTGATCGAACTAATGAGTTATATGAGAAGCAGAAACTGTTTGAATTTTTAGGGTTATTACAGGTTCTCATCACAAATCCCAGCTTTCTCAGCATCAGCATGAAGTTTCTCGATGTGATGAGCAAAATATAGATTTTTTGAGAATAATAGGTATATCTAAATCTAGAATTTCTTGAACTCGATCTAGTTTGACATCACAGATTTCATATAGTCATTTAAAATAGGATTTTGACTACGACAGAAGCTAATACATTTTTTACATTTACACCAATATTTAGTAACAGCCTCGGTAACAGCCTATTCTCTTTATAGAAAGCTATGATTTTATCTACATCCCTCTGTATCATCTGCATATAGTAAGAACTCTGAACTACCCACATAATTAGATATGTTATTAACAAACAACAGAAAAAGCAGCGGTCCAAGAACGGATCCCTGAGGTACCCCAGACATAGCCACATAGCTCTGAGAGTTAGCTTCTTCAAATTTAACAGTTTGAGGTGTATTGCCAATGTATAAGACTAAATAACTAATCAGATTATTACCGAATGAGAATTGCTTCAGTTTCCTTATAAGGACATCATGGCACACCTTGTTAAATGCCTTTGCTATGTCCATGCACACAACATCAACTTGTAGGCCACTGCTTATTTGCCGTTCAGATATTATTGGCGTAGCATTATCCATGGAAATTTGGCAGGTAGACCCTCGTATAATAATGACAGTATATGTCAAATTCCAGACAGTTTCAAGTGTGTTTCACATAATTTCGTAAGTGTCTCAGTATCAAAATTCTCTGGCCTATCTGGCCAATCAAATTTGACACATTTTTCAATATATTTTTCAATAGTGCAGTATATAAACGGTACCTTACCTTTCTGCATACCTGCAAAATCCATTGACATTTTTCAAAATTCGGCATTGTCAAATTTATTTCATATTTAGGATGCCCAAAATAATTTCTCAAAGGAAAATAAGGGAAATAGGAAATAATAAAATGTTACGGCTATTTCGAGAAAAGCGAACCAGAGGTTCTTCAGGGAATAATAATTGAAGCCCAACTACCAGATACATTTGGGATAGGTATAGTTTAAATATAGATGTAAAGCCATTTCTTACAACCAGCAACCAATATTTTTGTTGGACCAAACCCGAAAAAAAAGTTACTGCGAAAACATATTTTTGCTGTTAAGCTTATTGTTATGCGGTTACGTTGGATTTATTTTATTTCAAATAAATTCAATAATTTTACTAAGTACCCATTTTTTTTTTTTAATTACTTTGGAAAAATATTTTGGAATTGAATCTACTCAGATATTTTACACATTCTGGCAACTCGGCTTTCTGTTTTATAACCCTGAAATTTAAAAAATACTTTGCCATCAAATGTCAATATTATATGAGGGTCAACCTCTCAAATTTCCATGGATAATGCTATGCCAATAATATCTGGAAAGCATATACATGTTTAGCCAAAAACTTTGTGAACACACTAATGGCGTTTCCGATTGGTAGATTCAGTGCGCACTGAGTGTATTTGCATCCTTTTAATCTACCTGTAGAAGAAAAAGACAGAAATAGAAAAAATTGCACTAGTTCTGCACTAGATCTACCAATCGGAAACGCCATAAGATTGGTTGTTTGTTGATTTGTTGAGAAGCTTCAAAATTAAATTAATCGACTATTGAAAATTTTCCGAAAGATACTGCAACAGTTTTTGCCTCACAGCTCGTTTATTTTCCATACGATTTCAACGCAATGAGGCTCTTATTAAACCCAATTAAATTCTCTACAAACCTATGAATTAAGATTTCAATTTGGTTTCAACGGTTTTGTACCTGAGAAGCTTCAAAATGGAATTTATCGAACATTGAAAATTTTGCAAAAATGATACTGAGAGTTTTCGCCTCCCAGCTCTGTTATTGTTTTTCCGATTTCAATATAATTGAGCTCTAATTAAAGCCAATATTCTCTACAAACTTGTCAATTAGTATTTCAATTTAGTTCCGACAAATTTGCATCTGAGAAGCTTCAAAATCGAAATTATCGAACATTGATTTTCCAAAAATGACACCGTTGCATTCAACGCATGACGTCCAAAAGTTGGTCATGTTTTATCTCAAACTGCAACGTTTTCAATCTATAATTGGGGCTTAAGACCAATACCTGTGCTTCAAACTAATGTTATAAACTTTTGCCTATAACTTTAGGAAACGTTTTTGAAAATCTTATAAAGACGAAGATGTTAAGCTCCTAAACTTGGAATGTGTTTTACAGTTTCAAGCAATAACCTACATAAATTTAGATTTAAAAAAAATTCTGTATTCAGCCACGTAAAACTATGAGCGCAAAACATAACTGAAACTGGGTCTCCCAAATAAAAATAAATAATAATATAACAAATAAATAAAGGCATATACTTCATTTTTTCTAGTACCTAAATATGATTTTGAAAAAGATAAAATTCAAATATCTACTAATAAATATATTTTATTTTTTAATTTAGAAATTATCAAACTTGCTAAAGGCGAACATGATACTCAACTATCAAGACTCACCCAATGCGAACAGGATACCTACGAGATGCATGTGAGATCTGCTAATATAGTCCGTGCTGGCGAGTCATTAATGAAGTTAGTCTCAGATATAAAGCAGTATTTGATTTTGAATGATTTCCCTTCAGTTAATGAGGCCATAACACAGAATTCCAAATTATTCAGGTAAGATTGATCATAGATTGTTTCAAGATTTTCAAAGAATATTCAATTTCAGAACAAAACAGTCTGAATGTGATCAAAAACTAATGTCCCTTAGAGATGATATGGCAGCAGATTTGTACGATTTAGAGGAAGAATATTATAGTAGCATAAATAAGTAACTTTGTATTAAATATATGTATATGTATGTGATTGGATAATTTAAAATTAAGGTTAAAATAGGTGTGTATTAATTAAATAAACTATGATTTAATAAGCATTTTTTTGTAACAATTTTACCTCAGATACAATAACAACGAAATTGTTAACAATTTAATTTTTGATATTGTAATGTTTTTGAATTTTTATTGAGAGTTTGTTAATTCTATAAGAACAATAATACTGAAATGTCAGATGATTCTTCTAATGTATAACTTAATTTAATACAGACTGCTCTTGAAACCTGAAATAACCATAACAATACTAATTTTTAATTTAAATTAATTAGGGCCAATTCTGCTTGTCCAATTGATACCAATCCAATTTTGCATCTCAAAAATCAATACTCAATAGGAAAAAAAAACCTAACAAATCAGTAAAAAGTTAAATATATTTTCCCTTAAGATAACTTCTTGGAATTAATTACTAATGTTAACATATTGCCACTGAAGTAATTCAAAACGTCCAGTAAAGGTTGGCTGATGACAGTGCTCTGAAACGTGCCGAATGTTGTTTCCAAAAGTGATGACTTTTGCCTTGCATTTAAAATTAGATTCTTTGTTACAAGACCAAATGGTTTTCTTTTCTGATTTATGTCTTATCCTGTACTCATAGTTTCTAATCACCAACATTGGGAGTTTACGTTTGAACATGAAGTGGATTTTTTCTAAAACAATAACTTGTGGGATGTAGGACTGAATTTATTCTTTGCATGAAGGAAAACTTAAGGTGAAAACAATAATATAGCTTCAGAGATTTATTTATTTACATCAATCTCTTTTCATATACAACATTAACAATCTGCGATTTTAAGTTAGTTAAATCTCCAAAAAAAGATGGTTTATGTGAATGCTCAATTACTTTAGCAAACAAAGTATTGCCATAAGTAAATACTCTAGATCTACAGCCATGCGAATCTGCTTTAGTGCAAATCCATACAGTTTGTTCTGGCGATCGTCTTTTAATTCTGTATTCATATCCGCGCATCAGTAACATTGGAAGTTTCCTTTTAAATAAGAAATGGATGGTTTCTAAAATATAAATCAAATTAATTTGTTATACTGAAATATAACAGTTAATCTTGAACATCAAGCGAAGAATTTTAACACCATGCTAAAATTATCTAAAGCAAATTAAAAAAATATAACCATAATGTTATATCGAAATTCTTTAATTGGACCGTTGGCACATGTTATCTTGTTTTCGTTTTCGTTTTTTTGTGTTAAATTAAATTTTAGAATCATTATTGAGGTCTGTATAGAAAAATTATTGAACCCGTCTTCAACAAATTTAGCTCTGCTTTTTGTCTGTATTATCGATGTCTTCTTTGGAAAGAAAATTCCGCTAAATATCCCACATAATGTATAATGATATTATCGAGTACCATAGCGAGCGTGGTATATTAATTAGCTCTCACAACTTTCAATATTTTCTGTGTGCTCCTAAAAATCACATTTTTTATGTATTATATTTTAAAAATACATCGTTATAATATAAATTAGGCTCTGGTGGGCTCCGGTTTGAAAGGGCGATATTCAAAACAGCAACATTGACAAGGGCGACATCAAAGGAGCGACATATCAAAAGAACGACATATCAAAAGTGCGACATTTGAAACGGCAATATCTAAGCAGAACAGCAACATATAAAAAGAGCGACATTTTAAAGGGCGACATCTAAACAGAACAGCGACATATTGAAAGACCCTCGGGAAGACCGACATTTAAAAGAGACATTCAATTGGACAGCTTTAAGAGAGTGAAGTCATCTAAAAAAAAAAGCATCATTCACAAATGAGTGACGAATGCGAATGACATCAACCAAATTGAATTAACCAAGAAAATGCAGACTTACCCAAACTAACCCGCCTTGGGCGATCTAGTCCTGCATTTTTTTATTCAATTTGATACCCTTAGGTGTGGTGGAAATTGGGAAAAAACTACTTTTTATTACAGTTTCTATTTTTTCTCGGGGGGGTACAATATAGGAATTTTTGAATAGAAACACTACATGAATAATCTCTGAAAATTTGAACACGCTTGCATTAGCCGTTCAGATCATATATAAAGGTGTGTTTTTTAGGGGATGAAACCCCGTATTTTGAAAATGCGCAATAGCCCATTTATAGAAAATATACCCACCAAAAATCAGTCATACATCTGTGATAAATAGCCGCAGGTTTTCAGTTCGATTCGCATTGCAGCGTCGAGATAAACTATATCTCGAGACAGTAATTAAAGTTCCTGTCGAGCATAGTAAAATCTGTTTTTTTTTTTAAAGATAATTCCCCAAGTCAAAAATTTACACAGGAAAATTTTCAAAATTTTCCCTCTGTACTGCTAGTTTTCCAGAAAAAAATTAAAATTTAAGAGGATGAATTTTCCTTAATTTTGCGTAATAAGTCAATTTTCCACAATTTTTCCTGAGTGATTTTTTAATGAAAAATTTTGAAATTTTGCTTTAATGAGATCCTCACTTTCCTCTTTTTTCTGGAAAACTGGAAAATTTTAAAATTTTTATATAATGAGCTCCTCATTTTCTTGTTTCTCCTGGAAAAATTTCACAAATTTTGCTTTATTAGTTTTCCAGAAATAAATTGAAATGTGAGAGGATGAAGTTGCCTTAATTTTGCTTAAATAAGTCAATTTTCCAGAATTTTTCCTGAAGTGATTTTTCACTAGAAAATTTTGAAATTTGGCTTTAATGAGATCCTCACTTTCCTCTTTTTTCTGGAAAATTTTTACAATTATCTTTTTGCCAGTTTTCTAGAAAAAAAATAAAATGTAAGAAAATGAATTTTGCTTAAAAAAGTCAATTTTTCCTTAATTTTTGCATTTTCGAAAAACTCATAATTTTCGTAATTCACCCGTAACTTTTTCGTAATTTTCCCATAACTTCAAAAATCATAATTTTTTCGTAATTCCCGTAATTTTTTGAACCCATTCTTATTTCTCCTAATTTTTTAAAAAACTTCGTTATTTTTAAAATACCCCCAAGTTTTGTAATTTTCATAATTTCAAAAATTCGTGATTTTCGTAATTCCTATAATTTTTGTAATTCTCTTTAGTTTTATAATTCCAGTACTTTTTCGTAATTCTTGCAATTTTCCGTAACTTTTCAAAAATTGCGAAAAAGTGACGTTGGAATTACGAAAAATAGAAGTAAAAATTACAGAAAAATGAGGTTGGAAATGTTGGAATTGCGAAAAAGTTGAGTAAAAATGGCGGAAAAGCAAGGTTATAATCGAGAAAAAATGAAGTTATAAATACGAAAAACAAAAGTAAAGATTTTGGAAAAATTAGGTTGAAATTGCGGAAATGTGAGGCAAAAATCGCGGAAAAGTGAGGTTAAACTTATTGAAAAATGAGGCAAGAATAACGGAAAAGTGAGACAAAATTCGCGGAAAAATTTGTTGAAATTGCGAGAAAGTGAGTTTGGATTTTGAAATTGCGGAAAAGTGGAGGTGAAATTGCGAAAAAAAATTGTTGAAAGCCGTTATTTCTCAAATAAATTTCGTTATTTTTATAATTTTTCCTTAGTTTTTGCAATTTTCGCAAAACTCGTAATTCCCATAACTTTTTCGTAAGTTCCTTAATTTTTCGTAACTTTCCAAAATTCATCGTAATTTTTCTGTAATTCCAGTAATTTTTGAATAATTCCTGTTGTTTCTCAGATTTTCGTAATTTTTTAATTTCTGTAATTTCTCAAAATATTCAGTTACTTATTTTATAATTCCCCCTAAGTTTTTGTTACTTTCAAAAATTTGTAATTCCCGTAATTTTAAATTTTTTTTTTGTGAATTTTCATTATTTCCGTAATTTCTCAGATAATTCTCCCTATTTCTATAATTCTTCCTTAGTCATTGCAATTCTTGGAAAACTCGTAATTTTCGTAACTCCCGTAACTTTTTCATAAATCCCGTAACTTTCCAAAAATTATCGTAATTTTTTCGCAATTCCCGTGATTTTTCCTTATCTCTTTCAATTTTTATATTTCCTGTAGTTCCTCAAATTTTCGTAATTTTGTAATTCCCGTAATTTCTCAAAAAACTTCGTTATCTTTATAATTCGCCCCCAGTTTGTTGTGATTCTCAAAAATTGGCAATTCCCGTATTTTTTTTTTCTTGGAATTTTCGAAAATTCTCAAATTCCCGTCATTTCTCAAAAAATTCTCGTTAATTTCATACTTTTTCCTTAGTTTTTGCAATTTTCAGAAAATTCGTGAATCCCGTAACTTTTTGTAATTTTTGTTATTTTCGTAATTTTTTTGAAAATTGTCACAATTTTTTTAATTCCCGTGATTTTTTCGTATTTTTCATATTTTTTGAATAATTCCTGTAGTTTTCAGATTTGCGTAATTTTTTAATTCCTGTAATTTCTCAGAAAACTTCGTTATTTTGATAATTTCGAAAACATGGTAATTTTCGTATTTTATTTTGGGAATTTTCGAAATTTTGTAATTTCTGTCATTTCTCAGATAATTCTCGTTATTTTCATAATACCCCTTAGTTTTTACAATTTTCGAAAAACTCGGAAATTTTCGTAATTCCCATTATTTGCGTAATTTTTTAATTTCCGTTATTTCTCAAAAAAATTCCGTTAGTTTTATAATTCCCCCTAAGTTTTTGAAATTTTCGAAAGTTGGTAATTTCCGTATTTTTTTTTGGGGATTTTCGAAATTTTTTAATTCCTGTCATTTCTCAGATAATTAATAATAATAATAATAATAATGTATATTTATTTAGCATAAAAAGCTACAGAAAAAACAATAAAAAATTTACAGTGTAAATAGATAAATAAATTATTTAACCAAAAAATGACGTATTACTATATAAGTATAAAAAATGTATACAACAACAACAAATCAATTATTATAAACAATCAAAATAAAATCTCAGACAATAAATGATTCTTAATTAATTTTTTAAATTCATTTAAATTATCACATTCCTTAATACTATTTGGCAGCCTATTAAACTCTAACAACCCTTTATTTGAAATAGTGTTTAACATTTGTGTGGTATTACACCGATTGACTAGGATGAAATCAGTACGGTTTCTAGTATTATAATCATGTACATTTATAAAGTAATCAATTCTATTAGAAATATAGGAAGGAACCATTTTGCGTTTGATCTTAAATATAAATATAAAAACACTAGACATTATTTTTTGCTTCACGGACAATATTTGTAGAACATTTAACATGGTTATCACAGGTGTATATCTATCACATTTCAGAATTGCTCGCATTGCTCTATTTTGTACTAACTGGAATTGTGCTACTCTATAGTTAGGTATACTGAACAATAAAGTTGAACAATATTGCAAATGGGGCACAGCTAAGCTATTGTACAGCAATAATTTTGTATAACTTGTTAAATTTTTGCCTACTCTAGATACAAAACCCACTTTTTGCGAAAATTTTCTTAATATATAATCACAATGAGCATGAAAGTTTAACTGTGGATCTAATATAATTCTCAGATATTTGATGTGTTTCTCATACTGCAATTTAACACCATTCATATTGATATTGAGATTTTCCACATTTAAATCATTTAATCCATGTTTTTTGCCAAACAAACAGAACTTCGATTTCGTGACATTAATACTAAGACTATTACTGCACAGCCATTCAAACACTCGACTCAAGTCATCATTGATATTCCGTTGCATATGATCGATATTCTTACCAACGATACATATCATTGTATCGTCGGCAAATAATGTGATTTTACTATTTTTTACAACTTTAACCATGTCATTGATGTACAACAGAAACAATAATGGCCCAAGAACAGTCCCTTGTGGCACCCCATAGTTCACTAAGATGGATTCAGACACAGCTGACTCATACTTTACTTTTTGGCTTCTTCCAGATAAGTACGATTTTAACCAATCTAGGGCCAAGTGCTTTATACCCATATTTTCTAATTTACGAATTAAAATATCCCTATCAACAGTCTCAAAAGCTCTTCTAAAGTCCAAAAACACAGCCAAAACAAAATTATTGTCATCAATTGCTCCAACAAATTCATCACAAATGCCCACCATCACAGTCTCACAAGAATGTCCCGCTCGAAATCCCGATTGATTAGATACTATTATGTCATTTTCATTACAATGTCTCTGCAACTGCTCCTTCGCAACGAGCTCCAACAATTTCTCGTATACTGGCACAGTGTTGATCGGTCTGAAATTAGAATGCTGCTTAGTACCTGGAACCTTCGGCACCGGAATCACCAATGACGACTTCCATTCTTCTGGAAAATGCCCCTTGGAAAATGATGCATTGATAACGTCCAATACTCGGTTTCCATACACTGTAAAGGCATCTTTGAAAACCTTTGTCGAGATGCCGGATTCACCGCCACCAACATTTTTCATTCCGCGCACAATCCTTCTTAGGTCGACCATTGAAACGCCCTTAAATCTGGTAAACTCTGTAAAGTTTTGATTCTTCACATTTCCACTTGAATTCAGATACATCAAATTATTAGGTTTAATTATTGCCGATACGATGTTCTCGATGCTCTGCACAAAATATTTGTTGAATTCATTGGCTATATCTTCATCAGCTTTTACAAGTCTCTGCTCAAAAACAATTTCATTTGGTCTCGATGAATTTTTATTCGGGAGTAGTGTCTTTAAATGTTTCCATAGTTCTCTTGAATTTTGCTTATTATCATCTATTGCCTCTCTGAAGTATCTGTCTTTTTCCTGTTTTATTTTATTAACAATGTTGTTTCTTAATCGTTTATATGCATTCCAGTCTTCAACATCTCTGCGATGAACAGCCCTAGTATAAGTATTATCTCTTTCTTTCATCATTTGTCTTATTTCATATGTTATCCATGCTTTATCCCTAAACTGATGCTTCATTGTTGATTTAACCTTTGGACACATTTTATTTATCGTTGCAGCGATGTCTTCCACAAATTTATTTGCAATCACATTGTCTTCCACAAATTTATTTGCAATCACAATTCTTGTTATTTTCTAATTCCCCCTTATTTTTTTCAATTTTTGGAAAACTTGTTAATTTCCGTTATTCCCGCAATTTTTCGCGCTTTTCCCATCGTGATGTTTTCGTGATTCCAGTAATTATTTGTATTTTCAATTTTTTAATTTTCAATTTTTCTATTTTCCAAAAAAATTCGGAATTTTCTAATTCTCCCTAAGTTATTGTAATTTTCGTAATTTCAAAAACTTGTGATTTCCGTTATTTTGGGAATTACTGTAATTCACGTAATTTTGAAATAACTTTGTAATTCTTTCCTGTAATATTTCGTAATACCCGTAATTTTTGTAATTTTCGTAGTTATTCGTATTTTTCTCAATTCTCGTAATTTTTATAATTTCTCATAATTCCCGTAAATTTTCGTCATTTCCGTCATATTACTGGGTTCCGTAAATTATTATAATTGCCATTATTTTTCGTAATTCCCGTAATTTGTCTTGTTAGTTTTCGTAACTTTTCAAAAATTAGTAATATTTAAATAATTGACGTAATTTTGGAGTAACTTCGTAATTCTTTTGTGTAATATTTGGCAATTCCCATAATTTTTGTAATTCCCGCAATTTTTTGTTATTCCGTGATTCTCGTCATGTTCCGCAATTGTCGTAAATGTTTGCAATTCTCATAATTTTTCATATTTTACGTACTTTAACTTAATTCCCATAATTTTTCGTAACTTTTCAAAAATTATCGTTATTCTCGTAATTTTGAAATGAGGAAAAATGAGGATAAAATCGCGCAAAGTGATGATAAATCGCAAAGAAAGAGCCAAAAACCGCAAAAAAAATGTGAGTCAAAAATTTCAAAAAAAGTGAGGCTAAACTCGCGGAAAAGTAAGATGAGACTCACGGAAAAATGAGGATAAAGTCACGAAAAGTGAGGATAAAATCGCGGAGAATGAAATAGGAATCGCGGAAAAGTGAGGATAATATCGCAAAAAAAAGTGAGACAAGAATATTCACAGAAAAGTGGGTTTACAATCGAAAAAGTGGATTTAGAATCGCGGTAAGTGATGGTAAAATCGCAAATAAATGAGTCAAAAATTGCAAAAAAAATTATTCAAAAATCACAAAAAAAGTGAGGTCAAATTCGCGGATAAGTGAAGATAAAATCGCGGAAAGTAGGGAAACGATAGCGGGAAAATGAGGTAAGAATCGCGGAAAAATGAGGATGAAATAGCGGAAAAATAAGTTTGTAATGGCCGAGCAGTGAGGGGCAAGAAAATGAGGGTGAAATCGCAAAAAAGTGAGGCTAAAATCGCAAAAAAAGTAAGGACAAATTCGCAAAAAAGAGAGTCAAAAATCTTAAAAAGAGCCAAAAATCGCAAAAAAGTGAAGACAAAATTGCAAAAAAGTGGGTCAAAAATCGCAAAAAAAATGAGTCAAAAATTTCAAAAAAAGTGAGTGAATTCGTGAAAAAGTGAGATAAGAATCGCGGAAAAATGAGGTAATATTTGCGGAAAAGTGGGTTTACAATCGCGGAAAAGTGAATTTAGAATCGCGCAGAAGTGATAGTAAAATGTAAGATTTCTAAATTATGACGTCATCGATGACGTAAGTAAGTACAAAAAGTACAAAAAAAATAAATAATTTGGTTGCATTGATTTTTTATATCAGTTTTAGGTAGTGCCACTGTAGGTAGTGCTATGGTGGGATGCCGAATGGGAGTGGTAAAAAAATATGACAATACCTGCTACATAAATATAATGAAATGAGGACGGGAATTGGAGCAGGGAAATGAAAAGACAGTAGAGTAACATTTTCAAATTTTCAAAAAGTCTGTAATGTCAACATTACATTTATGGTTGAAAATAAAAAAATTGTTTTGCAGAAGCATGTTTTTTCAAAAGTAGTCAACTTTGGAGCGCCACCCCCGCTAAGGTAGGTGATGGACAGTGGCGACGCGTGACCAGTAGTCTGGGGGGGGGGGGGGGGGGGTGAATGGTACGGGGGGCTGAGGGGGCGCCCTCCAAAAACGCGCCACAGGCGAAATTTTTCGCAAATTTCAAGGTCATTCACTTTTTCAGAACAATTATTTCATTTGTGAAAAAAATAAAACAAAACAAAAATGTATTTTGTTCAATATATTATGTATTTTCTTTCTGGCATCGTGATTTTTCTCTTGATAATTCGATCCTGGGGGGGTAATTACCCCCAGTACCCCCCCGTCGCGACGCCCCTGGTGATGGACCTATGCTGTCGCTGAAGAAATTGAAGGGAATATAGTCCTCTATAATTTTCCATAAACGTTTTTTTGTGTACAACGCACTGGAAGGGCTACGTTTGCAAAAAAACAAAAACTACCCCCTTTAGGGGCCGTAAACGAGGTGATCCCGGTGAATCTATTTTGGGAATATGCCGGATTCGTAATCAGCACCACAAAATCTATCGGAAAAAAAATAAAACCCGACTACCATCGATTTAGTTTAGTAACACCTTCGTTTCCTGGGCTACAATTTAGAAAAAATGGGAAATTTTTGACATTTATAGGAACCCCAATTTTTTTAACATAAAAGAAATTTTTGTGTATTTTTCCAAATGTAAAATTATAGGAACTCCAGGTTTTTTTTTGTAATGTTTGTAATCTTGAGAAAACAGAGTATCATATTTGCATTGCATTACCTACGACAGGTACGCCCATCGAAAACACTCCAGCATTTTCTACGGCTTTGAAAGTGAAAATTTGAAAAAACCCTCCTCGGACCCGTAAACTTTTGTTTTCAGAGGGACACGTTTCACTATCAATGTCATCCCTGTAACCTCAACTCCCTAGCGGGGGTGGCTACTGCCCTTATTTTTTCGAATGGAAAGGGGTATGTTGTGATATATCTTTTTAAAGGGCATTAAATTCTGTGTAAAATGCCACTTCGTTCCTCAAATTTGATCTACGCGCCGTCGAGAAATTGCGTTTTAAAAAATAAATGTAATTTTATTGAGTAAGCACCTCTAGTGCTTTACCTGTTATCTTATTAGATGTTGAAAATGTCCGCCATTCACCTACATGCAATTCGCGAAAGCTCCCGAAGTAGGCGACATCTATGATGAACTTTGGTACTCAAATCTCACTGAACATCAAAACAAATTTGCGTTTGGCCCCCGGCACGGCATTGTTTCTGGAAGACACTGGAAGTTTTCAATTTTCTACAGAATATAATTCTTTTTATGTATTGTTCCTGTAATATAAATCACAAAGACTCCATAAAACAAAATTTAACAAAAACTAACCTCAAAAAACTGGCTTGGTTATTAGGCATTCCAGGTTAATGTCATAACCAATCCGCCATATTAGTTTGGGTGGCACACAAAGGCCGTGGCTAAAGTAACAGAGGTGTTACTATAAATATTTTTTTAAAGTAACATCAGTTCAATGACGTCACTGATGTTACTTTTATAGGGATTATAGTAACAGAAAAGTGTTTACTCTAATTATTTTCTTGAAGTAACGTCAATATAGTAGCAATATATAGAAAAGAAAGGTAGGTACTTTCTTTAGCAATTTAAACTAAGTAAAGGTGATATTCAACAACATAACAATAATATTTTATTTTTTATAAACCAAAAATTTGAATCAACATATTGATAATACAAATCTTTTGTGAGAAAAACGGCGTCTCCATATTCCTATTCCTCACATGCCCTTACAAAGGAACGGGAGTGTAGGTATAGTTCTCTCCTGCAGCCTGCAGGTGAAATTCGATTGTTTACCTTTTTATAAGTGTGCAAAGTGAAAATTCAGTTTTCCATTTTTAATCATTAGCGGTACACCGCTCAGCGGTACCTATAAAATAATGGCCATCAACTTCAAGCATTTTTTTTCAGCAAATGAAGATAGGTAAGTTCTTAATTTGATGATAATCTACAGCGAAAAAACTTCTGCCTAGGAAGGAAAATAATTTACTTTCCTTCATAGGGAGGCGAAATTACTATTTTCCTACCTGAAAACAAGGTAACAAATTGTCACTTTCTGACAGTCATAAGAAAATTTGTCTTTCCTGCCTTTCCTATAATTGTGCCTGTTTTATAAGTATTCTATTCTATTCTTCAAAGTCAAGTCAGGTTATTTTTTATTTATTTCCATTTTTACTCTAAAACAAATGCCAAGAACCAAGAATATCACCTTTACTTTAAATTGCTAAAGAAGGTAATTACCTATCTACATATTGACGTTACTTCAAGAAAATAATTAGAGTAACACCTGCGTTACTATTAACCCCTATTAAAAGTAACTTTTTGATGCGGTTTCTTGACTGTTTTTTTTTTGAAATAGTGGAAGTTTTCTTGGGAGTCAGTCAGGTTGAGAGAAAAAAAAAAAATGAAACAATTTTTTTTTTTTTTTTTTTTTTTTTTTTTTTACGTTTCGGAATTTTCATTTAATTCCATCCTCAGAAATAGAAATAGCAAAGTCAAAATTGTAAAAGCTAAAAATATATATAAAAAAAAGGAAATCAAAAAACGTTTAAGGACATAAAAGAAAAGCACTTACCACAGGTGTTTTTACATTTTAAAACTTATAAATATTTTTTTTTTTTTTTTTGTATAATGACGAGGACGATGTTACATAGAATGACAAACAGAGTTACGTATACAACAAACAAAAATTCAAAAACATGGTTTTTTTTAAAATAAAACACATGCAGAAATGCCTGTCGCCTATTCTGTGTCACAAGTTGTACTGAAATCTAGATCAAATCAAAATTGGTGTGCATTCCTTGGTTTTACTAGGTGTCTTTTTTTTATATGACGTTCGTACATTCCTTCCTATTAAATATAAACGGTAAAATATTATTAGGTATGACATTGTTTTGGAAGATGAAAAAACTGCAAATGAGTGGTTATATAAAATTTAGAAAAAACAAGAAAAACAAAGAAAAATTTTAACTTGGAACAACCAAAAAAGAAAAGGGCAGTGCAAAAAGGGAGGTATGAGCGAAAAATTATGGTAACTACCTTTTAATTCTCTTATGAGTTTATTAAATTATCATAAATACTACTTAAATTCTCGATATCAGTGCGGAAGTTGATAGAATTCTGATTTTTTTTAATTTGATACATTTCCTGGAAGAGTCTTTTTGAAAGATTCTGTTCTTCACCAATGATTTCGAAATTGTTGAAGTCAAATTGATGCAGATTGTTGAAGCAGTGTTGTGTTAACGCAGTATTATTTTCGGATGGTTTATGTAAGCTATTCTTATGATTTTTTATTCTTTTATGGATATATTGCTTGGTTTGACCAATGTAGCAGCTGTCACAATCTTGGCAGTTGATTTTGTAAATGGTATTAGTGCGCAAGTCTTTTTCAATAGAGGGTTTAAGTTTCGTGAAAAATTTTTTACTAAAATTATTTGGTTTTTCAGCAATTTGAATTTCATAAGGCTTTAAGCATTTTTGTATTTTACTGCAGACTTCAGGAATATAGGGTAAGGAGATATATTTATTATTCTTATTGATGGGATTCTTATTAGCTTTAGCATTATTGTTGTAGATTTTATGAATTTTTTTCTTTAAAATTGGCTCGTAAAAATGTTGGGGGTAATTGTTTTTATTAAGGGTGTCTTTAATTTTAGAAAGGTTAGCCGGTCTATTTTTTGGATGAGAAAGTAACAAGGCCCTATCAGCTAAAGCATTGACGACACTTTTTTTATATTTAATTGGCGCGTGAGAATTAAAATTAAGGTATCTTTCTGACCAGATAGATTTAGTATACCAATTTGTTGTTATGTTGCTAGAGTTATGAGAGATATTAATGTCTAGAAAGTTTATGCTTTTATTATTTTCTATTTCCATGGTAAATTGTATTTTATTGTGGAAGTCATTGAAGCTATCGAGAATATATTGTTGTTTGTGTTCCGGAACACAGAGAATGCAATCATCTACATATCTTTTAAAAAATATTGGTTCAAAATTTAAGTTAGAGATAATATTTTCCTCTACATGTTCCATCACCAGGTTAGCAATAGTTGCAGAGATTGGAGAACCCATAGCAGTACCAAATATCTGTGTATAAAATTTGCTTTCAAATGTAAAATAAGTGGAAGATAAACAAAATTTAACACCATCAATAAATTCATTTAGGGTAAGTGGAGTGAATTCATTCAAAATTGGCCATTTATTTTTTATGCAGTCCAAGGCCAAGTCGGTAGGGATATTGGTATATAACGAGATTACATCTAAGGATACAAGACTATGGTTTTCAGGTACATTAATTTGTTTAATAAAGTCACAAAAGTCCCAAGAGTCCCTAACAAAATAATCATTTTCACCTATAATGTTGGATAAGCTATCAGATAAGAATTTAGAAAGACTGTAAGTAGGAGAATTGAGAGTACTTATTATGGGTCTTAAAGGAATATTGTTTTTGTGGAGTTTAGGAAGTCCATAAATATAAGGTGCGTGGCCGTTGTGACTAATGAGCTTATTTTTTAGTTTTTTGTCAATACTTTTATTTTTGAACCAGCAGTTGATCATGCTGTTTAATTTTGTTTGTATTTTTGAGGTGGGGTCATTGTTTTCAATCTTATAGGTGGAGGGGTCAGATAACATGTTAAGCATCTTCTGATTGTAATCATTTTTGTGCATTAGCACGGTTTTATTACATTTGTCAGCAGACAGAATGATTAGATTAGTATAATTCTCTAGAAACGATTTAGTTTCTTTAATAAAAAAGTTGTATTGATTTTTCCATTTTTTGTTGGTGTTTTCAACTTTATTTTTGTAATTATTGAGTATGTTAGAGACTTTGTTGCGAATGCAGTTTTTTTGTTCGTTGTTTAGGGAACTGATGCCATTTTCAATGCTAGCTAAAATATTTGAAATTGGAAAAAAAGTCGGTATGTTTATGGAGAATTTTGGTCCTAAACTGAGAAAAAATTTTACAGGGTCAGGTATATTTATATTAGTAAGGTTCTCTAGCCAGTTGTTATTAAATTGGAAATCTGTTTGATGGAAAATATTATCTTTTTTTATGAGGGCCTCAATCTTCTTCAAGTGTTTATTTTTAATATCTTTGAAAACTCTTTCATAATAAAATTTTTGTTTTTCAAAAAAGGAGGAAGCTGTATTACGGTCAGTATTGGTTTTAATTTTATGCGTGTATATGTTTAATTGTTTTTCCAAGAAATTGCAGTGTGAAAAAGATTCGCTAATACAAATATTGAGAAGCCCAAAATAGTACGTATTTAAGATTTTTTGGTGTTCAGAAATGTATTTGTTGTTATGAAAGTTGAAAGTTCTTCTCTTTATCTTAATGAAATTTGGAATCAGTTGCAGTTTCCTACATCTTACCAGGAACATTTGTTTGTTTTTCTCCTTGGCAATCTTAATAGAAGTCTTCTTGTAGGCATTGAATGGGTTGGTAAGGTGGTTGTAGTGGTTAGTTTCCATTTGTACGGCACTTATAATCCCAGGCCGTTGTAGAATTTTTTGATGCGGTTTCTTGACTGTTTTTTTTTGAAATAGTGGAAGTTTTCTTGGGAGTCAGTCAGGTTGAGAGAAAAAAAAAAAATGAAACAATTTTTTTTTTTTTTTTTTTTTTTTTTTTTTTACGTTTCGGAATTTTCATTTAATTCCATCCTCAGAAATAGAAATAGCAAAGTCAAAATTGTAAAAGCTAAAAATATATATAAAAAAAAGGAAATCAAAAAACGTTTAAGGACATAAAAGAAAAGCACTTACCACAGGTGTTTTTACATTTTAAAACTTATAAATATTTTTTTTTTTTTGTATAATGACGAGGACGATGTTACATAGAATGACAAACAGAGTTACGTATACAACAAACAAAAATTCAAAAACATGGTTTTTTTTAAAATAAAACACATGCAGAAATGCCTGTCGCCTATTCTGTGTCACAAGTTGTACTGAAATCTAGATCAAATCAAAATTGGTGTGCATTCCTTGGTTTTACTAGGTGTCTTTTTTTTATATGACGTTCGTACATTCCTTCCTATTAAATATAAACGGTAAAATATTATTAGGTATGACATTGTTTTGGAAGATGAAAAAACTGCAAATGAGTGGTTATATAAAATTTAGAAAAAACAAGAAAAACAAAGAAAAATTTTAACTTGGAACAACCAAAAAAGAAAAGGGCAGTGCAAAAAGGGAGGTATGAGCGAAAAATTATGGTAACTACCTTTTAATTCTC